CTTCCCTTTCCCCCCCCCCCCCCCGTCGAGAAAAACCAACCCGAAAGGGCGAGTTTCTCTTATCACGAACCAGCAGAGCTGCTTCGTGTATAAGTTTTTGCACTTTTTGGTGACGATATTTTTTTTTTCAGTTTGTGTGCTCCTCGGTCGGCAGGCCTTGTGATATGTGTGTATATCTGTGGGCGAACACTCTTGGCGGAGGCAGCCAGGGAGTCACATTACCGCCCATAGAGAAGCCAGAAATGTCCTCCTCGTCAACTTCTTCTTCTCTGTAACTTCCTGTCACAGACTCTGGTCTCCTGTGCTGCTCCTGCTGCTGATACTGATACTGATGCCGCCGCCGCTCCTCCACCTCCTCACTGGACCGTTGGACCTGGATCCGCGGCAAGCCAATACTCTCCTCGTTCAGAGCTGGGCCGACCGCTTTTGTCAAGCCTTGCCTCTCGCTCCACGCGTCCGTGTCCACCTCCGACAGCGAGGATTCCTTCTCGGAGTCGGACCATCTTCGCCAGAATGCGAGGCCGTGAGACTTTCGTTTCGGCGGCGGAGTGTTTAACAGGAGACGGACGGTGTATTCGAGGTGACAGTTGTCGTAGGCGACTGTTGCGAGGAAGGTGACCTGAGATAATTTTATCAGCACTGAGCTCTCTGCAAGTGTGTCCATCATCGTCATGGAAGGAAAGCATGATGAACGACAACACACCCAGCAACATGACAAGATCCATTCCGCTGGGGCTGCAAAGCTGAGCAGCGTCCAACAACGAGGAGTAAAAATGACTTTGCCGTTTTCCAACTTCCCATCGCAGCTATAGATGCCAACGAGAGCCGTGATGCCAGAAGCTGTTGTCATCGAGTCAGCCTCTGCCGCGAGAAGAGGAGTGTAGGGTGTGGAACCCACGCAGCGCAACCACAACGGCAATTCTCTTCCAAATCCTGACCCTTTTAATGTACCTGTTCTTCGGCGTCCATTCTCTCATCTCCCTAACAAGGTTCCAATCACAGGTCTTGGCCGACGCCATGAAGAAGATCTGGAAACTGGTGAATATGAGATGGAGTTTGTGGTGGGTGTCATCTCTGGCAAACGACAGCGCAATCAGAAAGACCGACGAGATGCTGGCACAAAACAGTTTTCCCCGCCGCCACCAGAGTGCGACAGGTGCTCTTGTCCCCACGACGTAGTCGATCCCAAACCCCGTCCACAGCAGGACAGCCACAATGATGCTCACAGTCTCGAAACAGAGCTCTCGCACTGCACCGATACTCGAAATAAAAGGGAACAGGGCGTATGAGTACCCGATCCGGGGCCATGACCCATCCGCTTGGGCTGGTCGCGTGACAAAGTACGAGATGAAGTACACCATCTGCGAGAACCAGATGATTGCGGCGAGAACGACAGGAAGGGCCCACCAAAGGCCAATGTACCGCCGGAAGAAGCCTTGCCGTTCATAAGTGTTTGATGAGACAAAGGGTTTTGGCTGGTAAGGCTTCGAGGTATGGCCAGGTCGGCCGATCCTCTCCAGTTTCGTCATCACGACATGGCCCGGTGATGAGGTTGGAACCCCTCTAGACGATGTAAGAGTGTCTTGGGAAGAGTTGAGGGCAGTAAAGCCATGATTTGAATGCATTTCGTATAGTGGTAATCAAAAATCGGAACGGAAAAGCAACGCCAAAGGAGAGGAAACCGGCACAGAGAAGCGAGGTCGACAAGTTACTTTACTCACCCAAAGCTCGACCCCGAGTAGTATTAATGTTCTGAGGTGGTATCTCGCTTGGCTCTACCTCATGGCTCGAGGCGTAATACGGCCACCTGGTGTACATGGGAAAACCTACGCTGTCGAACGAATGACTCCAGGGCAAGGAGGAGTCGACCGCACAATGACTGTGGAAGTCTCGGAGATGCGGGCCGCGTAGCCACATTTAGTACTGGTTGGTTCGAGATGCCATGGAGATTGCGTTGGATGAGAGGCGACCGTACCAACCATAGTAACGGGAAAACACAGACAGAAGCTTGGAGGTCATTGACAGCAAACGCCATGGTGGATTTGTTGGTAGAGGTTGAACAGGGACCAGACACGGCAATAGATTTCCATCTTGGGCGACGTCTTATCTGGCCTTCTGTGGTATTTGTAACTTGAATAATAGATCTTGGGAAAACCCACATCGCGTATTACTGGCCATAGCCCAAGTGACTTGGAAACCCCACATTGGCACCAAGTAAGCTGGAATTCGGGACCCGAAGCAAAATGAAGAGCCCGTGGCGGTTAAGTTGGCCATGGTCGTGTGCTCTCAGCATATCACAGCATCAAGGTGTCTTTCTGCATTGGGTCGAGATCTAGCAAGCCGGACGGGAGTAGCCTTCATCATGCGTATAAATGGGTGGCCTTGTTCCTTCAGGTTCGTTCTGTTTTGGGGGTGACACGGTGCTTTCCAAGCGACCTTTGGAAACTAGAAATTGTTTCAATATGCTGCGGTCGAGGTGCATCCCGCCTCATTCTGCGAATGATTGAAAAAGTGACCGGATACAGAAGGCGGGTGACCAGCGAGGACAGTAAGAGAGGTGTGTTGAGGAGATCAGTAAACACCATGGGAATTCGTCATGCACAAGGCTGGGCATATGGCGCTGCCCTTAGCAGCACTGGTTGACATCAAAACCCACGCATGTCTATTGGTTAAGTTGATCAGTCATCGATCCACCAGTGAGATCCCCTACAGGGCAGCGTCACGATAATTCCGACTCCGAATCCGGTGCGACGAACAGATTTCCTTGCTTGGCGCTCGCATTTCCACCCCACTATTCTCTATGCCTGCGCCGCCTCGAAACATTCGTCTGTGAACAAATTTAGACACTTGACTCTGGTCCCTGTCCAGCATCCAACATGTCCGAAATAAGTCTCGCGGAAACAATCAGTGCGATCAGCGTCAACGATGAATGGGGTCCCGCGCTCTCCACCACCACGACCCTCGATGGCGTGCCATATGCCCCATACTCCAAAAGTGACAAACTAGGTCGTATGGCCGACTGGACACAAGAAGGCAAGGAAGGTCGAGATCGAGGCGGCAGACAGTACGGAAGAAATTACAGAGGTGAATTTCTATATCCAGAATTTGGGGTAAAAACTAACAGAGTGTATATAGACCAACAAATTTATGGCGCCGGTACATCCTCGCTGTTCGCTGTACAAGCTGCGGAAGATGAGGCCACCTTCTCCGTCGTCGACAACACCAGAACGACCGCAAAAGGTCGGGGCTTTGGTCGGGGCGGAGTAACAGTCTTCCGTGGTCGAGGTCAGCGAGGAGCTGCCCAGCGTGGAGCAAGAGGAGCATTCCAAAGAGTTGGCCAAGGTCGCACAGGAGGTCAACAACAAGGGCAGTTCTTCGATCAGAGGGGAGGTCGAGGTGGCAGGGGCCGTCGATTCGGGTGGCGAGACTACGACAAGCCGCAGCGAAACCGTGACGCTTCAGTCAACATCCGTCCCGACTGGATCATGAAGGAGGAGATCGACTTTAATCGACTTGCAAAACTCAACCTCGAGACTCCTGACGGAGAAGATATCGACAGCTACGGATTTCTTTACTATTATGACCGATCTTACGACAAAGCTCCTGTGAAGAACACGGAACGCAAACTCCTGTCCCTTGATCGAGCCGCCTACAACGTTACTACTTCTGCCGATCCGGTCATCCAAGAGTTGGCAGAGAAAGATGAAGCCACCATCTTTGCCACCTCAGATATCCTCTCCATGCTGATGTGCGCGACTCGATCCGTGTATAGCTGGGATATAGTGATTTTGAAGCACGGTGACAAAATCTTCCTCGACAAGCGACCTGACAGTTCAATCGACCTTGTCACGGTCAATGAAAATGCTGCCGATGCACCCCTCGAAGCAGACACCTCAAGCACACCATCCCAACAACAGACCGGAGTCAAGCCAGACAGCATCAACACCCCGTCCAACCTCGCCATGGAAGCCACCATGATCAACCACAACTTTGCTTTCCAGACCGTGATCGAAAACCCCAACAGCAAAGTCGAATTCCCTCACCCTAACCCATTCTACAGCGCTTCCGAAGAGACCGACCCGCTGGCCTCAAAGGCATACAAATACCGCCGCTTCGACCTCTCTCTGGAGCGGGACGAAGAACCTTTGAACTTGATTGTGCGGACCGAACTCGACGCCGCCATCAAGAACAACATCTCCGGGGAGGATCAGTTCCTCACCCTCAAAGCACTCAACGAGTTCGACCACAAGGCCCAAGGCAGCGGCGGCGCCCTGGACTGGCGCACAAAACTCACCTCCCAGCGGGGTGCCGTGGTCGCCACCGAGATGAAGAACAACAGCTGCAAACTGGCGAGATGGACGACGCAGGCGATCCTCGCCAGAGCCGATCAAATGAAGCTCGGCTTCGTGTCGAGGGCCAACCCGAAGAGCGCGGCGAACCACGTCATCCTGGGCGTCGTCGGCTACAAGCCGCGCGAATTCGCCAGCCAGATGAACCTGGGCTTCTCCAACGGATGGGGCATTGTTCGCACCATCGTCGACCTCGTGAGGAGCATGTCCGACGCCGCCGACGAGGAGGAAGAAGGCAAGGAGGAAGCGACTCCCGCAAAGGACAGGAAGTACGTGTTGATCAAGGACCCGAACAAGCCCGTCATCAGGCTGTACGAGGTGCCCCTGCACACGTTCGAGGACGAGGACGACGGAATGACCGGCACGGTCGCCGAGACGGACGCCGCCGGGGAGGAAGCAGAGGAATAAAAAGGGCATGCATGACCTGACATGACTGCAACCGCTGGGGGGTAACTGTGACGTGCTTGCTGGGGGCACCACAACGCCCTATCCCGTCCATCTATCTACCCGCACGCACTTTGCTTGGCTGGTGGCTTTGTAGCTTTTGACGTCCGTACTCACCGCCCCAGCTCGAGGAGAACCGCCAGAGATACTATTCGAGGTGGAGAAATACGCCTGACAAACGGACCGGTGGATGGGCGAGAGAGGAATGCGGTCGCTGTACTCGATAGTACGTTCAGGACTCACACACTACAATGAATGCTACCAGAGGAAAGGGTGGATGGGTGGATGGATGGACGGATGGGCGAGTCGATGACACAGAGACCAGCTATCCTCCACGATAGACACGAGGCGCAGCTGAAGCTGTCTCAAAAGTTTAGAACAGTAACAAATCTCGCTCTCGCTCCCGCAGAGGGAGGGATATCACAGAACATTTGTCTCGTTTTTACAAAAGAAAGAGTGATGAAGCTCATGTCCAATTATCAGTGAGGATTGTGCCGTGAGATATCTACCCATGTACTGCAGGTACTAGTATTCTATCCACGTAAACGCCATTATATGCCTGCCCCGGATTGCTCTCGGGTATTTTCCATGCGTGCTGGGAACACCAATGCTATGCTATGCTATGTTGTACTGTACAAGACATCCTTGGCGAAAAGGGCCAAAATAAGAACCCATGTCATCTCCGAGAGTCTTTTGCGCTCATTGAAAGATTTTCCCCGTCCGTATTCTCTTTATCTGACGCGACCCATAGTCTTGCCAATTTGACTCTCCCAATTCGCTGCTCTCTCAAACCCATTGGTCGAGGTTTGATAATCCATCATGGCTTGATAAATGGCTTCTTTGGAGGTGGTCACAAACGGGCCGTACTGGACAATGTTCTGGTCCAAGGGCTGCCCGGCGACGAGGATGAATCGTGCACCTTCCGATGCCCCTTCTTCGACTGAAGCCGTCACCACGTCGCCGCCTTGTTCGAAGACGACGTTATGGTAGGGTGTGATCGTTTCGGCTTTGTGTACGGCGGAGCCATTGGAGAATGTCACGGCGCCTTCCAACGTGTAGGCAAACGCGTTCCATCCCTGTGGGAGTTCCTGCGTAATCTTTCCACCGGGGTGAACTGTGATGTCAAGGAGCCACACGGGCGTGTATGCGAGATCCTTCAATGACTCGACACCTAGGCTTTTGCCCGATATGACCTTCACCTCGACCTTTCCGTCGTCGGTCTTTGCGATTGGGATCTCCTCTGCACGTAAATCGCGGTACCGGGGTTCGCAGGATTTGAGGTTTTCGGGCAGGTCGACCCAAAGTTGCATGCCGATGCTGACATCTTCGGTTTGTACAGGCATCTCCGCGTGGACTATTCCGCGACCTGCAGTCATGAATTGCAGATCGCCAGGTCCGATTCTTCCTGCGTGGCCAGCGAAGTCTTCATGGTTAACGCCACCTTTAAGGAGGTATGTGATTGTCTCCTGTCCTCTGTGAGGGTGGTCGGGGAAGCCTGCACCGGGAGATATGTTGAAGTGGTCGAGCATGAGGAAAGGGGTGAAATGGCGCAGTTTAGGGGTGCCGACTGAACGTCGTACCACAGCGCCCGCACCTTCTGGTTGTTCGCGAGCGAGGAACGAGAACTTGATCTGCCGAGGGGTTGTCATATTTGCTGTTGTGGTTGAAGCGAAGCGAGTGGGAATAAGAGGTGTTATTGTCGATTTAGTTGCTGTTGGTTTTATGGGACGAGTGATGTCGCTGAATATAGGTCTGGCTTGTCGAAGAAATGTCTTGGTCAAAGCCAGGTTACTGCTGTATATGGTTGTGGTTGCGGTTGTGATCAAAAAAGAGTGGATTTGCTTCATGGAAAGGAAAAGGAAGTTACTTATACCTTTAAGATACCGTAGACAGTCGAATATGCTAGAAATAGCAAGGATGATCCCACCATCAGCATTGGACAAGCAACTTGCAGCTTATGAAGAGCTTGAATAGCATTTGTTTTGTTGCGACGCCGCGGCGCAGGAAGAACATTGAAGAAATGCCGGTTGGTGTTTGGTGAGAATCGGAAAACCTTCCGCGAGGTTGATTGCGTAAGAATCAGTCAGCGATTCCAAAGAGCCTAGTCACGTGATATTGCCAAGCAAATTGGACCGTGACACAATCTTGTCTCGGTCGAGAGGCTGTTCATTGTTATGGTGTTGGTCTCTCTCTATGGACATAGCCCTTACTTACCCGTCCTCACAGGAAGATACCTAAGCGCCACGTGTTGTGGTCGATATCTGAGGTGAAGCTACCTCGGGAGACGGCCCGATCATAGCCGCGATTGCAATATGCCTTCCCTTACACTGTGAAGGGTCCAAGGCCCAGCCTATTCCATTGTCAATGATGGAAGATTTCGACCACCATGAGCCGATTTCCAGACCAGGGATGTCTGAAGCCTCAGAAAAGACCGTGTCGAACTTTGAGCTCATCATCATCTCCTATGGCCATGCCCACGGTCCCCTCACCCTCTTAGAGCCTGGCACTGTCGAGCAGCTTACCTTTTCTGTGAGGGACATGAAAAACCCTCCTGCCAAACTCCGGAAGACGCACACGGGATTGTCCTCACATCTACGCAAGGAAGTCATGGCCAACCACGGCGCAGCTGCAAGATTGAGTTTGATTCTCGAGGCCGTGCGGAAGAAGATGGGTGAGATGAAACTTGCCCGCCAAGGGATCGACATAAGCGCAGATTCACCTTCGTCGTCTGCGGCGCCGTCCACTCTTGTTGTCGGTATCATGTGTGAACGTGGCAAACATCGCAGTGTCACATTTGCGGAGGAGCTCTCGCGAAGCATCCAAGCAGATGATTGTTGGGCAGTTTCGGTCCAACATCGTGAGCTGGACCAATACCCGCACCGCAAAGGTGCAGCCGTTCGGGATGAGAAGGCACTGAAAGGAAACGGAAGAGACGGACGCAAGCCACGCAAGCCACGCGATCTGGAGAGGATGCAAGGTAGGGAGGCCAGAGACGATTTTTGCGAGACGATCCCCAATAGGGACGAGGACAATTGAAAGTGCCTGCACAGTCGATAAGCGCAGAGTGGGTCGCCTTTTGATGGCGGGCTGAGATCTATTTATGCTTTGTAATATCACCACTATTGACGCATATTCTTCTCCAGATTCCCGTACAAGGGAAACGGAAAAGCATCCATTCCGCACTGGCATCTCGGAAGCCCCAATAAATCTTTTCCATTGAGCTTCGCGACCCTACTATTCCGAGTCCAGTAGTTCGGTCAGCCCTCTTGTCTCATTCCAATTCTCCGACTTGTCGGGCTCCTTTGGCAGATCCCCGATCCGGTTCGCGCCCAGAATGATCATTCGTCATGTCTGCAGTCTGGAGTTTGGGTTGGGGTATGGAGTAACGAGTACAAGCATCGAATATTAAGGCAACTACCCCCACTCCTCCGCGGGTCTGGGCGGTATATACGTACGGCATATTCTTATATCTATTTGCAGGTCCTTATTTTAATACAGGTAACATATATATGGATTAACCTATATTCTTTTGCCACTTTTCGGTATTCATCGAGTTACGCGCACCTTGCGAGCACCTTGCACCTTACCGTGGTGGTATTCTGGTCTTCATCACAAATACATACATTCCAATTTCGAACCGCTGCTGCAACGGGGAACCACACCGGAAAAGATGTTCTACGAACCAGGCAAGACAGAGCATAACCTGCCATATGATCCGTTCAAGGTCAGTCACCTCAGTCTCTTCAGTCAGTCACGTTCAGAGATCAATTCCACCCTGTTGGGCGCGACACGCACTCTCCGTCATCATTCGTCATTTCCCTCCGTCTAGTTACCTGGGTACCTAGGTACCTACCTACCAAACTAGGCTGGTATGTGTGATATTACTAGGTAGTCTAGACATACTACTCTTGTCTCTGTTTATCTATCCTCGTCTCCCTTCCCCCCCAATTCACCTCACCAATTTTCTTACACTGTCTATCCCATGGGGACGGGATGGAGTCAACAGGCATGCGTCATCCCCCGCCCAATAGGCTGGATCAGCACCATTTCGCCTCCCCAGGACGGGCCAGAATCAGAGTCCACACCATCGACATCGACCACAACAGGCACAGCCTCACTATTATCCCCCTCTACGACGACAGAAGCCCGCCGAACAGCCAACCTCGCGCCGTTCAGCCAGTTCAACAACCTGACCTTCGACCCGCCGATGGTCATGTTCTCGGCGAACCAGACACCGTCGAACCAGCACAAGGACACGGTGCGCAACGTCGAGGCCACGGGCGTGTTCTGCTGGCAACTGGCGACGTGGGAGCTGCGCGAGGCCGTCAACGTCTCCGCCGAGCAGGTCCCCTACGGGGTCGACGAGTTTGAGCGCGCCGCCCTCGAAAAGGTCTGGTCAACGGTGCTCAAGACTCCCGTGCCCATGGTCAAGGCCTCGCCCGTCCGCTTCGAGTGCGAGTACCACTCCACGCTGCGCCTGCCCTGCAATCCGCCCATGGGCACCGTCGATATCGTCATCGGCAAGGTCGTCGGTATTCATATCGACGACCGGGTCTTGACCGCTGACGGCAAAATCGATGTCGCAAAGACACAGCCCATTGCAAGGTGCGGCTATTATGACTACGCCGTCATTCGGGACACGTTCGAGATGATAATTCCGGGAGACATTGAGGCTATTCGTCATGGCATGGAGGGCAGCGTGAGTAAACATAGGGCCGCCAGAGAGGCAGCCAACAAGATGGGTGTTAGTGAATCAGGTCCACCCTGACAGAGAATGCATCCTTGATAAGATGCCACCGTATGATTCAAGTGCTCTCTATTCACATATCATGCTATCCTGATGCAATGTACCTCGTGCTTAGACGTGACCATTGCCATTCGATTCCAAAATGAAGGTCCTTGCCAATATGATATACTTCGTCTAGCGGATACCTGTAGTTTCTCGAAGCAGGCATGCCACTCGACTTGATATCCTTCATAGTCAAACAATGCCCTTGCACGTCCGTTCGTCCTCATCCATACCTTCGGTAGGGTCTGTGGAAATCGCTGTCCGCAGGGTTTCGCCCGAACCGCTGTCCTGGGAGATTCCGCTTCCTGCAGACCGTTTGCTTTCGACTGTCGCCGATCTTCCTCGATCCAACGGAGGTTTAGTCAAGGCTTCCATTCCCTGCTCTGAACTTTGGCCCTGGAGACGCTTCAACCGAGGAATTCTTGTTGTATGCTCACGTGCAGAGTTGCCTTCGGGGTCGATAGTCGGATCCTGCAAGGAGCTTGAACCGCTGGCCTTTCGAGGAATGAATCTTCTCAGGACCTCAGCAGCTCTGGCTAGCTTTTCTTCCTCGGTATCACGCAAAATCTGAGGCAAAATGCTTCCTGAGCCAGCATAATTGTTTTCCAGGCTATGCTCAATAGCCTTGGGGCTCTTTTCGAACTCATTTTCTTCAGTACGTGTGTCGCCCAGGTTTAATGACCCTAGCTCATTTTCAAAACGGCATGGCCGAGACTCATCGGCATGCAGTCCGTCATAGGTTCTTGCTGAGGGACGAATGGACAAGGGTAGCGGAACAGATGACGGAGACGGCGTAATCGGTGCGGACTGTTCTGCTGGCCACATATCAGACGATGTTTCGAACATGTCCAAATTCCGAGAAGAAGCCTCGATTTGGTCCTATTCGTTGTTAGCCTTTGCATCGATCGCTTGAGCTACGTGGGCAGGGAGAGCCCACCTCGGTATGCTCCGGATATAAGAAAGCCCCGCCGTCAGGTTCGCTTTCACTCATAGTTCCTGTCATCGACGTTGATCTCTCCTGTCTCTCGGTTCGAAGACCAGGGTAGAGTGGAGAAAGTTGTCTTGGTCTGTTTTCTGGAAATGGTCTGTCGCACCGAAGGGCGAGCTCCGCAACCCAAGGTGGATTGTGAAGAAAACTCTCCGGTACATACAAGTAGGGATCCTAGGATGGAAATCAGCAACAGGTTTAAGGATAGCAGGCTATTTGTCACCCACTTCATCGGAGGTCGAATATTGATATCTCTTTCTCTTCACTTCTGTGGTCAAGTCATGAGAAGCGGCAGATGGTGGAAGTTGGATCGGGCTCGATTCTGCAGTCGAGTCTGGCGACGGAGTCATAGCTGCTTTGACGCGCGTGGTTGGCTGCGAGTCTGCATTCAAGCCCGAGGCGCTGTCCATATCACGAGAATCACGAGAATCTATGGGCCCATAGCATTCCGGGTGCTTAAAACGGAGACGAATGTCTTCATGGGTTGGATCTCCTTGCCATATGTCCTCGCCTTCAGCAGTCATCAATGCCGGACGCGCCAAGATGAGTGATGGTCCATCAGAGCAATCCGAATCCGTACTGTCTTTAACGGTGGCGGTCTCCTCGAGTTCAACATCCGATGTAGCGACGAGAGTGTTTGCAAGCTCAGGGAATACGACATCATGACTGCTGTCGCTGGAGGACATGGACTCCCTTGGGCTCCCAGCATATTGGCATGGATCAAAGGCGAAATGTGGTCGAGTGGTTGCCATCATGGTTTCAACGTAATTGCCTGCAGGTAAATCTTGGACTCGTTCATCGTTGGCGACAAAGTCTGTCTCAATAACAATGTCTGCGGATCGGCAAGGCTCCAGTTCTTTGCTGGAAAACTGGTTATCGTACTCTTGAAGCATACCCTGTTGAAACTCCATCTCACGTCCATCCCTTGCTTCGCTCAACGGATTCTCCGCTGAGATAGTCACACCAGGCAAGGGCACTGGAAGTTCTGACGCTGGGGTGCCGACTGAGAAGACATCCCGTAGCTCGTCCTCAGTAATGGACGTCTGGGCAGCAGCCATCGCTTGGCGGAAGTTGATGGTGGAGTCCAGTACTCGCGGAGGAGGAGGCCTGCCGGTGGGGATGAGATGTGGATGGTCATTCCCGAAGCATTGCAAGAGCGGCGTGCTCGCAAGCTGAACAGGAGGCAGAGAGGGTGTTGCTCTGGGAATGTCGATGGGAGAAGACCTCGGTTCATCCTCGATGATTGATTTTCCGGGCTTGAATCTGACAGATTTCTTCGGACTGGTACTCTTTGCCGGGGACGGAGGCTTGCTGCTCCAGGTATTGCTATCCTCCGTTTTTGAGCTGCTCTTATTCTCCTTGTAGAATAATGAAGTTGGGGCTCGAATAGCGTCTGCTAGCGTTTCGAGGAAGGTTTTGGGGGGTGATCCTGCCTGGGAAAGGTCTGAACTTCTGCTGCTTGGGGTGCCACGACTGAGTTTAGACAATCTTGAGAGAGAAGATGCGGCTGACATTTTGAGAGGATGAGGGCTTGGTGTCCGATAGTAGCGCTTGTCTTTGTCTGTTGCTGAGGGACTTCGGCCGGCTCGATCAGGGTCGTGGTCAGGATTCGAGGCATCGTAGATGGAGTATAGTTCCTGCTCGAGGGCATCATGGTGGGATCTGGTTGGCAAGGGACTGTGAATCTTGTCAGCGGCTGCCTGACCTCACACAGTCTTGACTTACTTTGGATTTCCTCTCTTCCTGACCGAGCTGATGAGAGAGGACAAGCTTTTGCGGGGGGTAAGGCCAGGGACGGTGGCTGAGCGAGCTCTTGGTGATGGTGAGGGCGAGGGAGACTTGTGCTCATCCGGCAGTTGGATTGCCTCGTTGACGGTTCGCCGCCGCAGGCTGGGGAATGGCATCGTCGGTTAAGCTGATACGCATGTGGATAAAACAATGAGACAGAAGTGCTGAGAGGCTCCAGTCAGTGGAGAAAGTCAAGGCGCTGCAGTGACAATATGTTTCAGGACAGGGTGTTTTGGATCATCGTAGTGATTAAACATACGTGACTGTTGACTCTAGGGGAGCAGGCACCCAGGGATGGCGTAAGGGCAGTGCCCATAGAGGAGAGTGTAGGTGGAAGAGGGAAAGAAGGACTCTTGATCTTTCTCTCGCTTGCTCTCTCTGTATCTAGACCTAGAGTAGGTAGGGTGAGGAAACAACCGACAATATTCTCATACCCTGACCAGGTGCGGTTGAGAAGGGAGTAAGAGGTGGCTGAGGTTTGGCCCAAGACAGAACAGTGCTGTCTGTTCTGACTGATGTCAGGTGAACGTCTTCATCAGTTGTCCGTCAGTTGTCGTTCATGTAGTGATGATCCTCGCAGTCATCGCCATACTTGCTCCCTGCAACCGTCAGTTCCAATGTTGTGGACTTTCTCCACCCCCTGAATTCACATGGGCAGTCCCAGGCCTGTCTGTCTACCGAGTTACTCTCCCTGCCCGACCACGCGTGAACGAGACACGAGGCCCGCATCCAAACATACGTTCCTGACCTCTCCACGAACCCGACAATCCTGCGCTTCCTGGCCTCGAGACGAGCCCTCTGTCAAAGGCTGCGGCAATTGTTTCCTTCCACATGCGAAGGCGCCGCTTCACAGTTCAAGTTCGACCTCAACGCTTGCTGGAACAGAGCTGCATATGAGGACGCCATCGTCTCCCTCCAAGATACCATCGATGGTCCCCTTCAAGAGCTTGACTTCACACGTTCCACACGCACCAGACCGACACCCGTAGTCAGGCTTCAGCCCAGACTTTTCTGCCAACTGGAGGAGCGTTAAGCGATCCTTTGCCAACCACTTGGTCGTCAACTTGGACTTGCGAAAGGTGACAGTAGCCTCTTCGATGTCCTGCATGATGTATATTGTTTCTGCTCGGGGCTTTGATATTGCAGGCGGATTTCGGGTTCGGGGTCCTCTTGATGGCTTTGTCGCGGAGCACGATGTCCGGACGTTCGTTGTATTGGTCAAGAGCTACGGGAAAAGCCTTATATGGTGGAGAGTTGTGATTGATGAGACTGATGCTGCTTCGGTGTCGCAAATATCGGCTAAGGTGATGGAGATGACCACCAGCACTGAGATGATCAAATGCCGAGTATCTCGGATTTCTCGCCGTGTGTCAGCTGCACTGGGACAAGTTTCGCAGGAGTCCACGAAGACTAATCGCTATTTGTGAATGCTACACCAAGATGAATAAATGTGTTGGATTGGAATCCGAGGTTCAGAGAAGCAAAAGCTTGTCGAATATTAGAATTCCTCCACAGTCCTTCCGGCGCCCCCTTTCCCAATAACATCCAAACAGATGCACCCCTTTTTTGATCCCGCTAAAGAAGGAGATCAATGTCTCTTCATCGACTCCAGGATGTCTTGCACCTTGGCAAAGCTCAATTCATCGATTGTTTCCCGCCACAGGTTCTCGGTAACAGCTTTGCCTTCGGGCGTGTACAACATGGTCGCAAACCTTGATAGACAATCCTGTTTAGCAAGACAATAACACAGTAGACAGGGATAACCATGAGCAACTTACGGTTTGATCTGCCAGCCCATTATGAAGCATCCATGAGACTCCTTTCCTTTGAGCAGACAGGCATCGACATACGTCGAGGCACCATCGCGGGTACTTCTGGCGGTGAGTGCGGCAAATATTTGACTGAGGGCTACCACAATCCTCGGTGCATCCCGCGCGAGTCGTGTCCCTTTGACAAAGCCAGGGTCCACGAGGTTCACGACGACGTCGTCGGCCGAGACATAGTCGACGAGTTTCCAGAGGAACATGTGCGCCAGCACCTTGGACGTGTTGTACGTCTCGCTGATGTTGAATGCCTTTGGATCATCGAATGAAGGGAGCAAAGGGGTTCTGTCCTTGGTCGGGAATTTCGCAGTCAGGGACAGCGCAGCATTGACGATGGTCAAGCGGCCTGGCTTTCCCGCTGGAGCTTTGCTTTTCAAAACGGGAAGCATTAAGATAGCAAGGAACACAGTCGAAAGGTAATTTATCTGGAAGATCTCCTCGTGACCGGTAGCAGGCAACTTGGTGAAATTGTACGTCCATCGACCAGCATTGAGAATTATGATATCGAGGCGTGTCAGCTCGTTCTCTGCGCGTTGAACAAATGCCTGGATTGAATCATAGGAAGCCATGTCCAGTTGCCAAACGTCGATGGTCGCTCGTGGATAGGTGGCATGGAGACTTTTTGCTGCTTCCGCCCCTCTCTGACTAGAACGGACAGCGAGAATCAGACGTGAGAGATTGAGAGAGAGCAGTTGGCGGGCGCTCTCCAAACCCAAACCTGGACAACTTGTGTTAGCTGATGTCAACACTCCTTCCCAAAACCACGATGGCCATGTCTCCCCACGAAACATTGTGCTCCATGTAGGGGAAATATACCTGTATTGCCTCCTGTGATAATTACAACCTGCCCCGAGAGGTCGGTGCCCTTTGGCGGCCGCTGAGGTTTGGCGACAAACTGATTTCTGTAAAAGAGCCTCGGAAAGAATGGAGTTGTTATAGGGGGCAGGTCCCTAGAGGAAGACATCGTGAGCTGGTCCTCGTTGAACTGGACTTGACAGATGTGTAATCGAAGAGGAGGATCCTTGAATGGATACCAGCAACAGCAGAGACTGTGCTTCTTAGGTCATATATATAGGTGGATGTACCATTGTGCACCTCACACAAGGAACCTTTCGGCGCCGAGTTGATAACATGTCGGTTCATAGGTTGGGTAAAAAGTCAACCATCCAACTGACTAGTACAAGGTCAATATCATTTGGGCGGACATTGCCCTGGGATTGTCCTGATGAGGTTGGATAGGCGGGTTCCCTTGATCCAAAAGGGTTTAGCCTTCCCGGTCTAAACCGGAAATGGCAAATAATATGTGCATGAGATTCTCCGCCTGGAAACAAACCTCAAACTGTGAAGAGCAGGTTGCGCCATCCCAGCTCGAAAAAAGCCTCGCAATCGAGTTGGATGCCTATTGACCATGCAAAATCTTCTCTGCAACGGAGTTATTGACCCTAGCCCGAAAGAGAAAACAATACGGCCTCGCTTTGGCGAAGTGCCACCTCGTCGACTGGCACCTAAACCAGGCAGCCTCGATCAGGGCAAATTCTTGACGAACTTGACGTCTCCCGTGCATTGACTGTGCAAAGGGCTCCATAATGCCTCAATCAATCCCGTCGCGTAAGTCCTTGCGGCAATCAACAAAGCGGTTCACCCAGAGCCATGGTCCTGATGCTGACATCCCGTTTGACAGCAGGCATGCCATTTATCGTGTCCGCGGGGACGACGAAGAAAAATGATCCACAGACACGCAAGCTCATACGGAGCCATGTGATGTTAGGCAAGAATTTGGGGAAGTCTCGCCGGGCCAGACCGAAAGATACCCTGCCCTGGGAGGCGGAACCGGCGTGGGAGTCCTCAAATGGCGGCAAAGTACCAATACAACACTCATCCTCGATTATCCCAAAGAAGGTTGGGTCCGAGTGGTCATTCACCCAGCTGGCAGACGAGATCGAGCCGTCCGCAATCGCCGATATTCTGACTTGTATGTCTCATCTTGCTCTTGAGGATTCCTGCTTGAAAGTTAGAGGACTGACAGCATGCGGAATGTAGATGCTTCTCTCGCAAGGCAAGCCACTGTTCCATTGGCGCCATGCATTGCCTTCATCAAAAGAGAGAGGGTGCTGGTCGGCCCCATGGCGTCCGATGCAGCCTTCCTTCACGCCACTGCGTTGGGAACTCATGCATACGTTGAACTAATGCGAGGTCGTGAAGATCATAAAGCTCCCCATGGCACATCTCCACATTTCTCAAAGGCACTTCAGCTGCTACGCGAGCGACTAGACTCGACAGATGAAGACCTGAAAATTGCCCTTCCCACTATGATGGTGGTTATTGCCCTCGCACTTCACGCTCGTATGATTGGAGACTATGACACCGCAAAGCGTCACATGGAAGGCCTTTGCATGATGATCAATCTCAGAGGAGGGATTAAGACCATTTTGCTTAAGACGAGACTCGCCATCGAGATCTTTAGGTATGAAACCCTGCACCGTTCTGACAACTTGCTCACGGATTTTCTTGTCTGGTACAATGCTGATTAGTTGCATAGATGCGACATTGGACTGGCAATCGAAACCGGCCTCACGCCTACATTCTTCTCGGCTTGCTCTTCTGGTGAGCCCTATAGGCCATTTCCACACCTATTGTCGGTATCCGTTCCAGAGTCGACCGACGCAACAACTTGCAGGCTTTACCCTGAGAAATTCCTCAATGTGATCGACAAAGATCTGGCCACTGTCTGGAGAGCTCTGAAGGGATTTTGTCTCCAGATCAACCGCGCCGCCAGGACTAAACGAAAGCTCTCGGAAGAATTTCTGCTCGAAGCAACTGCCTCAGTTATGTATCGCCTTCTCCACATGAGCTTTGCAACTGGTTCGCTTGACGCAGCTATCCGGCTCGGTCTATTGGCTTTCTCCTCACAAGTCTTCTTACAGCTGCCAGATTTCAGGGTACGCAGGACAACATTGTCCTCTGCCTACCAACAAGCTCTTGCTGGCCTTGACACCTTGGAAGACAAATGGCCGCCGCTGTTACTTTGGCTTCTTGTAGTTGGCCGTATTACAGTGCTCGAAGACACTAGTGATATTTGGCTGAATCCTTGGCTGAAATCAACCATCAAACGATGTGGAATTGATTCATGGAGTGGATTTCGTGACATGATGGACTCGGTCATGTGGATTGGCCTGGTGTTTGATAAACCTGCTGAGGACATCTTCTCCGCGGCGACGTCTTCCTCAGACGGGCGAAGTACGGGGAGTTGATCAATTGCCTCACTTGCATATCCGGAGTACGGGACAGCTTCACCTTTTCATTGTGTTGATGGGAACAGAGGCAAGTTGATTACAGCTGCGAAGGTGTGAGGCTGTCGACAAAGGCGTGTGGTGCACAAACGTGGCAAACATGCCAAGAGTTTTCATTTTCTCCAGGGGAGACGAGACTTCCTACACAGTAACCAACTTGTTGGAATTGTCTGTCGCCAATTATTCCCCGATGTATCCAGTTTGGGTTCTGGATTCATAACTGGAAGACATGTGTATCATAAGAATTTCTATCTGAGGGCAAGGCGTCGGCCCCTTGTCCCTCTCCAGTCATTGCCATGAGCCCTCTACGTGTCTCGGGCAATCCACCAGCATTGACCTCTATCTGCTCACTTCTGACCAAAAGACGGACTGTACATCGTAAGAGCACAACGGCGCCTTATTTTATTTCTCTTGTTGACTCTACTAAGTGATCGGGTTTCAAACAGTCTGTCGCGGCTGTCGACGCAACTTCTCTTTACTGCGTGAAAATGTCAGCCTCTGTCAACGCCAAAACTTGACGAGAACATGTCCCCAGGCACCGACTAACTCAAAGACGACAAATTCCCGACACCTTACCAGGCGACTGAGCTCGAAAACAACCAATCAAGGTCCCAAAGCCACAAAAGCTGGTCTCGAGGCAGACTCAGAATCATTGAATGATTCAATCCAAGCTCGACAAGTTGACTCCGGAACCGTTTCCGCAAGGTCCGAAGGTCCAACAAGCCAGGGAGCCCAGCATGGCCAGTCGCAGGTGAGGTGGGAAATGTCTCTTCACGAGAGAGTCAAGGGATTAATGCGCCACGTCCCCCATCCTGTTGCCGTTATTACCTCGACCGACATATCTATCAGCACCAATGGTGATCCTTCTGCATGGCGAGGAGCAACCGTATCTTCCTTCAACACTGTAACATTAGATCCGACACCGATTGTTTCTTTCAATATCAAGCAGCTGTCGTCAACATATGAGGCCATCAAAACTTCGGGCCTTTTTAACGTGCATCTGTTTCTCTGCGATCAGATGGGACAAAAAATCGCCGAGAAATTTGCGCGCGGCAACGCCTCTTCGCCTTTTCACCGGAGAGATGGAACTCTGGCTTCGTTCGCGCGGTGGCGCTCTGACACAGTGCCAGCATTCCGACCCAATTCACCTCCTATCATTCAATATTTTCCAAAATTTCAGATCAGGTGCCGGTACCTGCCCGAAAAGGCAGTGGAAATTGGAGATCATGTGGTGGTTTTGGGCGAAGTCGAGCATGTTTACGATAGATTGGATGGCGTGGGTGACACGGATGTCTGTTTGTATTATGTGAACGGCCGCTATGCTCAAGGTCCCTTAGGATTCACCCATCGACATTGAGAAAAATTTAGAGACAATTTCGATTGGACCTGCAAATACATGTCAGGACACTGGTGACTGACTATCAGGGTCAGTAGTGTGGAGTCTAGTAATTACCAGTCCATATTGTGTATATACTTGTATCCTGATATCCAAGGTACTGGTGTCTCCAGCCTCGTTGGTAAATGGTGTGACGAGGCTGAGCAAGGCTGCCGAGAGTCGATCGTGATTGGCTCAAAGATTAGTTTCTCTCACCTCAACACTTGCTTCCCTGGCTTCATCCTTCCATCACATCCACAGAATCAGCGATGGTGAATCTTCGGATATATTGATTCCTGTAAGCTTCCGACAATACGAACGCGTACAGCCTCATCAAGATGCCGGCGAAATTGTCTCTTGCCGACACGCGCTTTATTTGCATCCAATGCCGGAAAAGCCTGACCTCAAGCAGACGGAGACGATTCGCATCCACTAAAGCATCATCAACCCCCGAGATCTTCGACATCGTGACAGTCGGTGGCGGACCAGCTGGCCTGGCCCTCCAAGCAGCGTTAAGTTCGTTGTTTTCTCCATCCCTGGTCGTCACAGAGGGGACGACCGCTAACCTTCTTACAGAGTCGTCGCCCATAACATCACATCTGAAAACGGCCCTGATCGAGACCCAAGATCTGCCCAAGCTCCGTCAATGGAGTCTACCGGAGGACAAGTACTCGAATCGCGCCAGCAGCCTGACGCCCTCGTCCGTCTCGTTTCTCGAGAAGACGGGTGCATGGGAACATGTCGACCAGTCTCGCGTTCAAGCTTACGATGAGATGCAAGTCTGGGACGCTGCGAACGACGCAATTCTGCAATTCGACTGGACGGCCGAGACCTGCAAATACAACGCACCTCCGAGCACCGTGGCGACGATGACCGAGAACGCCAATCTGACGAGAGGTCTCCTCGAGCGGATCGCCCAGCTCGGCGCGGAATCGTCGCTCTTGTCCAATACCAGCGTCTCGTCCATCACCAACGGCGAAGACGATCCCAACGGGCTCAACCTGTCCACCTGGCCGGTTCTTGCCCTCGAATCAAAGACGCCTTCCCCATCCTCGCCTTCGTCACAACATCCATCTACCATAGCAGCCCGCCTCCTTGTCGGCGCCGACGGCTTCAACTCGCCCGTGCGCACCTTCGCCGGCATCGCATCCCACGGCTGGGACTACAACCGGCACGGCGTAGTCGCTACACTCACGGTGCAACCGGCCGACGACAGCCTCAACGCTGACGACTTTGACCTCTTCTCCGAGGAACCTCTCGGCAACCGCGCAACCGCGTACCAACGCTTCCTTCCCGAGCTCGGTGGACCGATCGCCATCCTGCCTCTCCCAAACAACCACGCATCCCTGGTGTGGTCCACGACGCCCGCCAACGCCGCATACTTGAAGTCCCTGCCACCTGCGGCGCAGCTGGCGATGATCAACGCCGCGCTGAGGCTGTCGCAGACGGACATCAAGTACATGTTCAGCCTGCCATGCGCCGAGGATGCGGCGGCACAACACGAGGACGAACTCCACTGGCGACTCCAACACACGCAGCCTCCGCCGACCGCGCGCGCCCCGCCCATCATCACCGGCGTGCAGGAGAAGACGCTCGCGTCGTTCCCGCTGCGCCTGCGCCACGCGACGTCCCTCACTGGGCCGCGGGTCGCCCTGATCGGCGACGCCGCACACACCATCCACCCGCTCGCGGGGCAGGGATTGAACCTCGGCCTCGGTGACGCCGCCGCACTCGCCGACGCGGTCGCCTACGCCGTCGAGCACGGCATGGACATTGGCGACGCCTTCGCCCTGGAGCGCTACAACGCCGCGCGATTCGGCAAGGGCCTCGTCATGGCCGGCGGCGTCGACGCCCTCAACTGGCTCTACCAGATGGGCAGTGCCGGAGACGGCAGCATGATGAGCAGGCTGGTCGGCACCGCGCGGGGCCTGGGCATGAAGGTCGTGGACTCGGGCCTGGTGCCCGGTCTGAAGAGTCTGATCATGAAGCAGGCCACCTAAGCCAGCGTGGTTGCCCGAGGTTCCATGAACCACAAACCGGGGAATTGTGACGACGCGTTTGTGGCGTGGCTCGAGACGAGAGACAGCAAACATATCTGTGTGCTCGGTGTGTACCCAGAGGATTTTACTTTCTGGACAGAGTGACAATGGGGCGTTTCCTGTTGACTGTTTGCAATCTGTATTAAATACCTAAGTACTTTCAATTTGTATACAGACTTCAGGGGGGGGGAAAATGAATAAAAAGGTTGTAAAGAATCCAACGGCCAGCCATCCGGGTTTTAGACGGCCAACTGCTTGCTTATACCAATGCTGCTGTCCAGATCCCACTGGTCGCCACAAAGCCATGTCCCATCCTTTCATGAATTGCGCCCTCGATCAACCGTATCCCAGGCCCCAGGCGCCCAGCTCAACTCTCTCATCCGTAAACATTTCGACGTGCAAAATCTCATCGCTCTTCTCAACGACCCCGTCCTCTCCATCGCTCTGGCCACCTCGCGGCAGTCGCTCGAGAACAAGCCATAGACCACTAGAGCCAGGCCCGCACAGCGACGGGTGAAGATCGATATCGATAATCCGAAGACCCGATGAGATACTGCTGAATTCTTCGTTGTCGATCTCGCTGGTTGCGAGAATGTCCTTGTACGGCCCTTGTCCTCGCTCGAGTGTCATCTTGAAGAGCGAGGAGTGCGCTTGCGCAGTGGTGACGACTTCGTATCGCGCGACGAACGAGATCCGAGACAGCCTCGACACCGTAAGCGGCGCGAGCAGGCGATCTGTGGAACTGTGGAACACTGCTGGACTACTTTTGATGCTCAATCGCCCAGCACCTTCCGCTGGCAGTTGATTCAAAGTTGTGCTCTCGCCCGCAGAGGAGTATAGGTCGAGGCAGAAATCCGCAAATTGGCCCTCATCAAACGTAGAGCAAATAATCGTATAGGAACCGGGTCCTAGCTTGGTTTCAACAACAGCACTCCCACGTCGGTAGTCTCCCGAGTGCGCGAGAACATCCCGCGGGCGGAGGCGGGTAATCCTTGACCCGTTGCTGAAGAGGACCAGGATTTTGACGTTGATATCGGGCTCTGCTGCAGCGATAGGCTTGACCGATCCCACAATCCTCAGAACTAATGCAATCCTCTGCGCAGTGGACAAGGTCATTCGAAATTGGGGATTGGACAAGTAGTTTGCTGAGTCCGAGTTTCCTCCAGCGTTTGACCTGGTCCACGCGGAGCTGAGGCTGAATTTCTGGGGATATGGCAGTCGTGCTTCCGAGAGTGCTACTGGATGTTTCGACAAAGCCGAGATTGTAAAGTTCATCTTCCCAAGAGGAAGACCCTGTGATACCAAAACTGCAGTATAGCCCGATTGAGCAGTAGCTTTGAACCTCAACAGGGTATTGGGAGAGTCCACAAATGGTCCCCGTATTTTTGCCCCTTCACTCGATATAACTCTGTTGCCGTCAGAAGAATACAAGGAGAGGCCGATATATCCATTTTCTTTTGTCGTCTCTTGCGTGTAATCTCCTGTTCGAAAGTGCCGCTGCAGTAACAACCAGATTTCACCTGTACCAGAAGCTGCCACTGCAAACTGGGGATTGTTGACGATCAAGCTGGCGGTTGGCGTGGCATTAGCCTGATCCCACGAAAAGTGAAGGTCTTCTCGATAAGAAAACAATGCAGGGTTCCAGTTGAGATACATATTCTCAAAATATTGGAACACGCTATTGAAGCCCATCCAGAAGGTGCCAGGCATCATCTCTTCGTTTTCAGGCGTGTCAATTGGAGACTCTTCGTCGTTTCGATGCGGTCGGCGCCTTGCCGCCCCCCGCCATACATCTCCGTCAGCCCAGGGGTTTTTGACGAGCATCTCTTTGGCATCAGCGTTAGTAGACATGTCCAAGACTGCATAGTCATGTTCTGCTGCGAGACCGAGGTGTCTTTGCTCCCGGCGGGGTAATTTGCCAGTTCCAATGGTGACGAGAACATTTCCTCTTCGAAACTGAGCAATGATCTCCTCCCACAAGAGATCTGGTTCGACATCCTCGTCGTGGAGAAAGACTTGTTGAGGAATCCACCCGGTAAGCACGGCGAGATCCGTCCCAGAGTTACTCCCAGGAAAGTCGTAACCGCCTCGAACTTTTAGATATGCTTTCTCAACCAGGGCTGGCCATAGTAACGTAGGATGGCGGCGGTCAATCACATGAAGAACTCGGGAAGTCTTGGAGGACGGTAAATAGTCGTCAATCTCGACCCTTCTCCAGCAACCATTGAAATATAACTTGAGAATGTATTTTCCATTAGGCGACAGAATCATTCGATCAGTCTCATAGTTGAAAGGATGCACTACACTTCGCAGGATCTAAGTGAGGGTTAGTAACGAGCTGGGCTGTCGAAGCTCCTTTCCTACCTTGGGAAACCCACGCTCTACCCTGGAGGATAGCGCACACAGGCTTGCAACCACTGAACAGTCCGATGTCATGTCTTGCACGAGGTCCATAGGCTCAGGCAAATACATGACGGCAGCGTCAATACCATTTTGTCCACTGGGGTCGCAGTGAACTGACGGAAGTGCTTGCTGCGGTCGTTTCCAACCATCAAACGATTCAAGCTGCGCCGTGGACAGAGGCAGCGACCTCGAGTCTGTGAATAAAGCGTCGCCATCACGAAGGGCAAATTCACCCGAGGATGGTGGAGCCGTCCAAGGCGTGAACTTGAAACCATTCAGTTTACCACCCTCCAGGAGTATTATTTTTTCTCGCGTCGTGAGCTCGCGGCGCGAAACAGGTGGTTCGAGGAGCTCTCGCGATCCTGCCGCAGGGACCAGTCTGTTCTGTTCATTCTGGGCTGCCTTGAGCCGCTCGGCCCGCGCTAGGAGTTCGTTGAACCTGGTGTCGAGCCTCTGCTTGTCTGAAGGTTTGTCAGCGAGGCGAAGAGCCTGAAAGTACAACTCGGCAGTCTTGATGGTGGCATCTAGTACTGCCTTGCCGGTGGATTTGGATGGGATTGTCCTCTCGATCGAGCGCGCCTGCTCCTCAAGCCTGGAGAGGCTGTCATCCATTACCTAGGTGCTAGGCAACTAGCTCGAGATAAAGGGCCACGAGGGCTTCTCGCAAACGTCAGCGGCCATGGAAAATTGTCGGAGGCGGGCCGGGATTCGGAAGGGTGAGCGAAGAAGCGCAGGCTGTGTGTGGACAAGCGGAATTGCCACTACCTCGGCTTGACAGTCTTGACAGGATCGAGCTGCAACGGCCGAGCCACTCAGATGCCACTCAATCCATGTCCCACGGGGTTTTTCGTATGCGAGATCGCCCATGCCTCTCGGGCAGATGAGGAATGATCAATGATGTTTCCCTAGTAAAATAATTACGCGACCATTCTTTCTTCTTTACCCATATCAGCTGCAGCTCCCTCCAAACTCTGACGTTGTGACCAGCCGAAAGAAAGCCAATCCCTCCAACACTCCGCCTACCCGGCTTTCTATATCAGCACACAGAGGTCCGGCCTTGAGCTCAGGAACCCTCCCTCCCTCGTCCCCCTCTCCCCTCCTTTAGCGCTCGAAGAGCCGCTCAGACAAAAGCCATGACAAAAGCCGGGCAGCTGGCGCCGTGGGAGAGCGCCGTTGCAGGCGCAACTGGCGCAGTCCTTGCAAATGCGCTGGTCTATCCGCTGGACATGTATGGCAGACCCAGATTGGAAGACCCGAGATAAGCTACTAACGGGAACCCGCAGTGTCAAGACAAGACTACAAGTCCAGATAAAGAAGAAAGGCCATGTACACCAGCACACGGCCGAGCACCATCACTACGAGTCGACTTGGGACGCCATCAAAAAGATCGTCGAGCATGACGGCGTCGTCGGCCTATACTCGGGCCTCAATGGTGCTTTGATCGGTGTTGCCTCGACGAATTTCGCCTACTTCTACTGGTACTCAGTAGTGCGGACGCTATACACACAGTATCGAACAGTTCCCGGAGGCCATCCTGGCACAGCTGCCGAGTTGTCCCTGGGTGCTGTCGCGGGAGCTATTGCTCAGATCTTCACAATCCCCGTGGCAGTCATCACCACGCGGCAGCAGACACAACCAAGGGGTCACAAGAAGGGCCTGTGGGAGACGGGAAAGGAGGTCGTTCACAGTGAGGATGGTTGGACTGGCCTCTGGAGGGGTCTCAAGGCCTCGCTCGTGCTTTGCGTCAACCCCGCAATCACATACGGCGCTTATCAGCGTCTGAAGGACATTATGTTCCCAGGTCGGGAGAGACTCCACCCATGGGAGGCTTTTGGTAAGTCAAATGGGATCCGAGTCAAGGTGTGATATCGTACTGACACGCGCGGGCAGTCCTGGGAGCCATCTCCAAGTCGATCGCAACGATCTGCACCCAGCCCTTGATTGTGGCCAAAGTTGGCCTCCAATCCCGACCTCCGCCAGCCCGCGAAGGCAAACATTTCAAGACCTTCACCGAAGTGATGGCATATATCATCGAACACGAAGGGCCGGTCGCGCTTTTCAAGGGGATTGGTCCTCAACTCATGAAGGGCCTCATGGTGCAAGGTATCCTCATGATGACCAAGGAAAGAGTGGAAATACTCTTCCTATTACTCTTCTCCTACATCCGGATTATGCGGCAGAAGAAGCTCAAAGAGGCTGCCGCCAAACTCAAGAGCCGAGCCATGCCGGCCGCAGAGAGCGTCTTGGAAAAGGCGAAGGCGAGTGTGCCTGTTACTTTGAAGTAGCCACGCACCCTCGCATGTTGAGTCGGGTTGAGGTTCCGGAAATAGATCTTGGTCGGAGGGAGGCTGGTGTTGAACGCAAAGGCAACAGGCCCACGAGAGATCAGCATTTACCAACTTGTGCATGGCGTTTGTGTTGCATCCAAGATCCCTACAAGGGTTGTCTTTTATGGGACGTTGTCCTGCTTCTTCCTCTTCTTCTTGTTGCTATACACGCTTGAGTTTAGTGTTTTTCTGTCTAGACTGTAGCATCAGGTGGCATGTCTTCAAGGCAATATATGAAGAGAAGACAGAAAAAAAGGCTGAGCAATGAGAAAAGAAAAAAAGACGTTAATGCGCGACTCTGGCATATTTACACAGGAGCAAATAAATGTGATTTACACTGAAGTTGCGCCGATCTTTCCCCTGGCGGTATTATTGTACAAACCCATCGTATGTTCTCGGGACAACATATCAACCGACAATATTGGTGATCTTATGTATGTTCTGCTGAGCCTCGGTTTCAGTCCGTCACAGGATCAGTCTCCCCAAGCCAGACAGCTGAGGAAAGCGAGATACCTAGCGACTTCGTCTCTTAGCCCTCCCTGTGTGACTCTTGCGCCATTCCGCATCCAGAGCTGCGGATGCAGATGAGGTCTTCCTGAACAGCGCGATGAAACCGCCTCCGAACGTGCGCTCACCGACAAGCGGGCGGCAAACCATAACTGGATGGTCATCTTGCGATATCGAGGAAGTCTCGCCGTCGGCAGGCTCCTCATCGTCGATGGCCTCGTCGACTGCGCTGTCCCGATGCTCCTTCTCATTTTCAGGCTTCGAGACAACTATGGGCTCCTGCTCGTGACCTATCGGTTGAGTCTCCGTAGTGGTCGTGGGCGTGGTACTTTTCCTTGGCTTCACAAGCCTCACGTCCCACTTCCTCCCCGAACTTATACCCTCACCTAGTTCCAAGACCTTGTCCATGTTCAGCGGCAAGGATAGCTCTCGAACGACCTTCACACAATCCGCGATTTGTGTGATTGAAGGCACAAACACAACCAGTTTGGCCGCGTCGCGCATTGCGGGCACAATATTTTGGATGTGATTATGTACGCCAGGCATATCGAGGAGGACGTAGTCGAGGAACTCGTCCTTGGAGTTCTGGTGGCGTGCGATCCACTCTTTCACATCTCCTGTGTAGAAATCCACATGTGGCCAGTATAGACCTCGGCGGAATCCGCGCACCACTTTTTCTGCGTGGATGCTGTTCGCAGGAACTGCTTCCACTGTGTGTAGGACCGCACCACGTGTCTCTTTCCATTCGTCCCACAGCCGCTCGAGCGAATTCGATCCGGGTGAATCATCTTCGGGAATAGACGATGACTGCGTGGGCTTCTTGTCCACGGTTCTGCGTAGGATAGGGAGCTCGCTGGCGGGAGGAGGTGGGTTTGCAGCTGCTATGGCTCGAGCAAGATGCAGAGTGAGACTACCATGGCCCGTGCCCGCTTCTAGAATCTGCAGGCGACGCGCTCCAACATTGCGGTTCGAGTTTGCCGTATGTGGCTCAGGGTGGATGTCTAACAAGGAGACGATCGACGACGCATAGCTGGCGTAGACCGGGGTCACAAGCCGAGGCGTGAGCGTGACGTAGTCCTCAAGCGATGGGAGTTCGACCTTGTGCAGCGATCCTTTCGAGGATCGAACGTATGTAGAAGTGACTGGCTTGCCGATAATGTCGTTCAAGGCGAGCTGTCCCTTAGAAAACGCGTACCTCGAGTTCCGCTGCAGTGGAAAGGTGAGCTTCGATCCATCCACAAGTACTCTGTCGCCCTCTGCAAACCGGGTCAAATCTCTTTCGACAGCATTTTGGAGGCCACTGGCGACCTTGTCCGGGGTTCTCGAGAATCCAAGGGCTTTTTTAAGAAATCGGAACACCCCAGACATGCCACCACGCAAGTCAATCAGCGCTGCCCCGGACTTTCCTCTCTTTTGGAACGTCTAGGGACAAGGATCAGGTTGATCCTGCGTTGAAATTTCCCCAATAAAGCATACCGTTAGGAGAAGGTCTGCCGAAAGTCCATATAAAGCTAGGCTACTTGTGGTAATTCTGTCGATCATTCTTCACGCGAATACGAGCCCACTTGGATCAGGGACACGGCAGCACGGCTAACATGGTAGAATTGAGAGTGTGGATTTATCCCATCCCATGATTTCAAAACTCCGGATCTAAGAGCCATTCAATGATCATTGATATCATCGATCTACATCGGATAGAAGTTGCGAGGACTCGGATCAGTCCAGAGAGGGAGCCCGCTCAGGCGGCCTTCACATTGCACATGCGAACATGACCAGGAGACTTGTATTTGCTCAGCCCTCAACCCCGACCTGCTGCACGTCGCTAATCCTTCTTGCAGGTACGCACAGGCATACAGCTTGGAGTGCTAATCACCATTGTCTTATTCCTCGTCCTGTTCCTCGATAATAGATACCGAGTCCTCCCTAATGCCATCCACAGCCATCTGCCTGCGCACCATCCCGGTTTCGTGGTCACTGACCTGACGGTCGTCACCTGCTCATCGTTAAACCCTTTCAGCAGATGTACTGTCGACGGCGAAAACTGGCATCGAGTTGACAAGGACTTGTATCTGGGAAAAGGCTTCTTGTCAAAAGCCTACCTCTATGTCGAAAGACAGCGCGAAGATGATTTAAGTCCCCATGCTGAAGTGGTCACGGAAGTCAAGATTGGTCGCTTGCAGCCGTCGGTTGTGGACCCAGCTTCAAAGGATGAAAGATGGGAGTCCCGTCCCGCCGGGATATGGATTAAGTTGTCTTCAAAACGACACGACAACATGGTAACAGGAGTTGACGTCCTCTTTGGTCATGATGCGGTTGATCCTCGCTCGAATTGGGAAGTCCAGGACATCTCCTTGTTCATTGATGCAGATCGCGAGTCACCCGAACCTCGTCTCACGGTCCGCAAAGGCCCTGCTCTGAAAGTGGAGAGACCCGTCCCTCGAATACGAAAAGACGGCAAATTCAAGATCATGCAGGCAGCAGATCTCCATCTCGCGACGGGCCTGGGGAAATGTCGCCATGCACTCCCGGAAGGACAGGAATGCGAAGCTGATACGCGCACGCTCGACTTCCTCGCTCGAATGATCGAAGACGAGCAACCAGACTTTGTCGTCCTGACTGGCGACCAAGTGAACGGCGACACCGCACCTGACGCTCAAAGCGCGATCTTTAAATACTCTGAAATGTTTGCTCGACATAAGATTCCCTACGCAGGCATATTCGGTAATCATGACGATGAAGGAAACCTCAACCGCGCCGAATCAATGACCATTATGGACGGCCTTCCTTACTCCCTCTCCACCGCCGGCCCCGAAGATGTTGAGGGTGTAGGTAATTACGTGGTGGAAATCCTCGGACGGGGCTCTTCCTCTCACTCAGCGCTCACGCTGTACATGCTCGACACACACTCCTACTCCCCCGATGAACAACACTATCATGGCTACGACTGGCTCAAACAGTCCCAGATTGACTGGTTCAAGAGCACATCTCAATCTCTGAAAAGGAAACATAAGGAATACACACATATCCACATGGACCTGGCGTTTATTCACATACCCTTACCAGAATATCGCAATCCAGATAATTTGGCCTGGGTGGGAAATTGGACGGAACCACCTACGGCACCAGCCTACAATTCGAACTTCAAGGATGCCCTCGTCGAAGAAAACGTTCTCCTCGTTTCTTGCGGCCACGACCATGTGAACGACTACTGCCTGCCTGCGAATGACAAGAACAAGAAACCCGCACTATGGATGTGTTACGGCGGCGGCGCCGGATTTGGTGGATATGGTGGGTACTACGGATACCACAGAAGAATGAGGTTTTTTGAGATGGACATGAACGAGGCGCGAATCACGACGTGGAAACGGCTCGAGTGGGGCGATGAAGAGACGCTGAAGAGAAGGATTGATGAGCAGATAGTAGTGGATGGTGGAAAGGTCGTCACAGGCATGTGAAGCAAAGAAGGAAATCTTATCGGTCCGATACGACACCGCGGGCATGGACTTCGGTATTTTTGGGCAACTCACGATCACAAGAATGTTGCTTTTCAATGCTGTTATATCATTGCCTGCCAAGAGATGTTTGTCACGACTATTACATGTACAGTCACACGGCGTTCAGGGTCAAAGATCGGGGCAGGCTAGCTCACGTTGATTTCGAAGCAAGATACGGCCTAGGGTTTGTTTTATGCTGGCCTTCGGTTCATCGAGATTGAGCCGCTCTATCGAACATGGTATTGAGAGCTATGACAGTGGACAAAGGCATCGGAAGTGGTGCGATTGGCAGCGGCTGCGCAATGGCCAAAGGGAGGAAAGGCATGATACCCCATACCCTGTGAGAAATGTATAAGATCATTCTCCACCGTTCCATCCGGGCCGTGGTGCGTGTTGAGTTCTCGCAGGTGCTCTCTGCGGCCTTTACTCCTGGTTTCACCACCATTTCTCGCAAAGCACTCTCCGGTCCTCCATCCCCGGCGCTTTCTGCAGCAAAGCCACGAATTCGTCGGTCATGGTGGGCAAGCCACATACATACACAGCCGTGTGGGTTCTGCTGCCTTCAGGCCCGAGGGCGTCGAAGAGATCGTCATGGTTGAACCGCCTATAGCGCGTTGCCGTATTGCCTTGTACGACGTCGTCTTGCATCGCTCCGTCAGCATCGCCGTGCCCGCCGGTCTCGAAGAGTGTGTATTTGAAGTCGACGTGCGCGTGGTTTTCCCACTTCGCCGCTATGTCTTTCAATCTCTTCTCGAACAGAATCTCTTCTCCCAGGCCGGTCTCGCCATTCCTCTCTCGCCTCGCGGCGTAAAGCACTCTGACGGTCCTGGTCATGCCGCCCAGCTTGTCCGCCCCCAAGACATGCATCGCGGAGATCATGCTCATGATAGGATTTATCCCGACGCCTCCCGCGACGAACACCACCCTGTCCAATGCCCGGCATTCTTCTTGGTCCAGCGTCGGGGGCGGGTACACGAAATTTCCACCCACGCGGAACGTCATGGTTGAGCCGAGGATCTCTTGGGCGGGTCGCCAGAGGTATGCTGCCGGCGGGTTTGACGGAGAGGACTGGATCGCCAGTTCTATGTGTGGGTCATCTTGAGATAGGGAAGACGCTTGAGGCGGCGAAGTGATAGTGAAGCCGCCCACGACATCGATGTTAGGGATGTACAGGTCCACGTATTGGCCTGGGAGATGGCGGAGAGGTGGCTACTAGAATGATAGTTCATGTGAGCCCGGGGAACAGTGTCTTCATGAGGTGTCAGGCAAGAGATATTTATTTGCTGATCTGAATCGAAAATGGAATTGCTCTCGCAGAAAACAATACCGTAAACCATTGTGACGACGACACTGTGCGACTGCCCTGATTGGGATACAAACCACTCAGACTAATTTGAGCAAGTGTATATTTCCAAGGAACGCGTTCCTCCGCCCGAGTATAAGGAGACATGGTCGCAGCGAGATAGATAATGATATGACATGATAGACGGAGGGAGACAAAGAAAAAAAGGCCACACCTACTCCATCTCTTTGCAGACTCAGTCTCAGCAACCGTATCTTGGAATTGATGTGTTCAACTTTGCTCAATCGGGCTGTCCATATACCCCTCTGCCGGGGATCCTCGGCGGTCCTGATGATATGGGGCACCGAGTCTTTCACGGTGGCCATTCTTCTTCTTGTTATTATTCTCGAGCCTGTATTGGTAGAAAGACAAAGGAAAGGCGTGGTGGCAGTCCGGCCGAGATGCTGGATTGTTATAGCTGGTTCGATGGTTCGTGCCCCACACGACAAGGATTTGGCGAGTAGGTTCATAGCATGATGACTGTCTTTGGCACACACACAAGGTCTAGTCAAACTCGCCTCGTTCTGTACAGGTCAGTGCAGGAACTTGGCTGAAGTTGCTGATTGATAGGGAGTGGGAGTTGAGGGACGCGAGTGTCATGGTCAATGGTGAGAATGCGGAATGGCCCCGCCTGCGTACATTCACTGGCCTGGTGGTTCCCACCTCTGCGAACGTAGCTCTGTTTGTGAACCTGGTGAGTTGATATCGACGAGTAATGCCGCTTGAAAGAAGGGAAAACGCTGGATCTACAATATTTAAGAGTGATTGAAGACGAGATAATTGCCATCGCATCGGCCATTGTGAAATGTGTAGAAATTGGCTACAACAGCCGTTACTCAAAGGTCAATGAGAAACTCATTGCGCACAAATATCGCCTTTTATTTCACCACCAGAGATGACAAGATCTACTTCGTTCGTAGCACGAATCTATCCCTTGTGTTTCATATCTCGTTCCGTCTCCTTTCGGTGCAAGGCACGTGAAGGGCAACACGAAAAGCACGCCTACCGCCTGCGCTCTCAGAGGAGCTTGGCTTCAGCCTGATGACATGTGCAATGATCCCTTCGTGAACGACCATACTTTCATCTCTGGGTTTCTCGATGTTGAGAATTTGTCAAACCCTTGTCTCTTGCTTCTTTATCTATTGCCTTTTAGGCATTTGGTCCATAGAGGTACCTACGCTCTTGATCATGTCCCACCCAACGCCTGGTTCCAGTATGGACGTTCGCAGATGTCTGGCAGGTAGAGGTGATGGTCTGAAGAGACGACCAACTGTAGAAAGTGGATATAGTGCCATGAACTGGCGGCGTATGGCAGAGGAACTTGGACAGCACCAGAAGGGAACGGTATCGAAATATGCTGTCGTGTCAGCATAGCTCCAGATATGTAACTTAACATGCACGAGGCAAGCAGAAACCAGAGGTTCGCCTCAAGATTGTTTGATCAACAATAGTTAAGTACTTCTTTTGACCGGGTGAGACCATACCTTTGTCTACATGAGCATAGTGTTCGCCTGTTGCTCAGGGTTGGGGCATCATGTATCACTCAGCAGCAATCCATCACATATGGTCATCAATTGGATCATGATAATTGGATGCACCAATGTGAGCTCCCAGGCTCCGATAATATTTTGATGGACGGGCAGCCAAGCGCCATATCAAAGAAATGTGTCTCAAGCTAAGTGGCGACAAATTTTTCACTGGCGATGACATGCACCACGACGTCCATCAAGCAAGCACGTAATGATCCTACGCGAGCGTTGGCTCGACCGCAGAGACTCTAAGGTATTTTTCTTGATGAATTTCCATTCATACCATTGCTTTTGAAGGTATATCAGGCCAGCGCAGGACGAGAGGCTGTAGCGGTGAGGGGCTGTAATGGGTGCACCCGAAGGACAAGGATAGGAGTGGGCGAGCAAGCGCAGCTGGTTGTCTTGCGAAGACGGGTCAGGAGCTTCCAGAAAAGATCGCCATGTAATGTGATGAGAAGGTAATCTTCGTCGTAAACATTTTGATAATATATCTGGCGATATCTTGCAGGGGAGTCGAGGTGACGGGATAAGTTGTAGTTGCATCAAACTCGGCTGGTCAGAGCAGCGCCGAGATGCTCCAATTTAGTGGGCGGCGACACACCTGGGACTTTCTCTTCTCTCTCAACCTCACTCCTGCCAATACAACCCCCTCAGCACGACCCAGTCTGATAATGCACTCTGGTCAACCTACACTCCCTTTGCGAACGGCGTGGAGGATCAAGGGCGAGAATAGGTCGACCTGGTCAGGTCAGCTGAAAGAGTTTGCGATATTAGTGGAGCATATCATACCACCAAGGTCAGGGAGGGCGCACCAGGTACTTGATACCTCTCACACACCCCCCGTCCACCTTGACCCTGACTATGCGTGCCATGCTAATGCTAGCCAGTTCCTCTATTGAAAGACCGACTTCGATCATTTCATTTACTTCCTGACCTTTCTTTCCACATATTGCGCTGGGCAGTTGGCAATATCAAATCGCTCGTTGATGACCTTAGGACTATATGGCGGCAGCAATAGCAATATCAAACACCAAAGAAATCATGTCTACCACAATACTCGGCGTTGATGTGGCCAAGGTGTCAATTGCGGTTGGTTCAAGGTATGCTGGCTTGCTTTGTGCGCTATGGTTGCAGCAATGTAATCATCTTGGTGATCATTTTGATACTGATCAAGCCCAGCCATGATCAGACCATGCATGATTATTCGGACGACGATTCTGTCATTAAGATGGAAGACGATTCGGACGATGCTTTATCCAGCGGCCCCGCCTCAATCTTGCGAAGCTTGCAGGTTGAAAGCGAAAACCGTGACTCTCCTAACAGCTCGATGACCTCGGGTTCTGTCACCTCTTCAGCCCCAGAACCAAAGACTAAAATCACACTCAAGATGGACGTCAAATCCGAAAACTCGAACAATGTAAGCCCGTACATGTTCTTGAAAGCCTCGACCGCCTGCCGACCCAAATCGTCCATTCCTCCGAGGCTCTCCCCCTCCGAGTATGCCAGTCAGTGTGTGGCAGCGGCTGAAGCCTCGAGGCTCGATCCATATGCATTGCATGAAGATGAACATAAGTTGTTACAAGACAAGTTGTGTTATTCTCATGTCACGGTATATCTGAATATACGAAATGGCATTCTTCGGTTGTGGACTCGAAATCCAAGCGTAAGCGTCAACCTTGATGAAGCGATTGGCTGTGCAAGAGATGAGAGATGGACTCGTCTTGCTTGCTTTGCATACGAATGGCTTGTGCGACGAGGTTACATCAACTTCGGCTGCGTTGAGCCGCCCTTCATCAGCCGAAGTGTCGGCCGCGGCCGTAAGAAGGAGACATCACGAGAGACCATTGTAGTCATTGGAGGTGGCATGGCTGGTCTAAGTACTGCACGCCAGCTCACCAACCTGTTTCAGCACTATCCTGACCGAGCTCCTCCAAGGATCATAGTACTTGAAGGCCGCGAAAGAATAGGTGGGCGAATCTACTCACATCCGCTTACCAGCATGCGATCTTCCAGGCTTGCGCCTCATCAAAGGCCTACGGCCGAGATGGGTGCACACATCATTGTCGGGTTCGAACGCGGCAATCCCCTTGATGCCATTGTTCGTGGGCAGCTTGCTCTCGAATACCACCTCCTACGAGACCTCTCTACCCTCTACGACATCGACGGCACCCCGGTCAACGGCGTGAACGACGCAATGATTGAAAGATTATACAATGACATTCTTGAACGTACTGGTCATTACCGACTCAAACACACTGTCAAGAGAACTGCATCAGGTGACAAGGATCTAATTGAGGCGGGACGTGATCCTCCCGACGAGGATGGAATTACCATCAAACAGTTTGAAGAAGCTACTGCACTGGGCACAATCGACCAGCTCCTGCCCAATAAGAAATCAAAACGTCGTGGCGCGGGTCACCGAGCTGCAAAAGGAGACAAATCCTCGGAGGAAGTGGATACAAGCATGGAAACAAAAATGCAACTGCCCGCTGCCCAAGCAGCCAAGGAGTTTGGTTTTCTGTTGCGAAAAACAACTCAGATGCATGAGACGCTAGAGCTAGATGGCCTTGCATCGCAGCTCAACCAATCACTAGGAGCTGTCATGAATTCTGGTGTGGACCAGTATCAGAAGTTTCTTGACCTCAAGCCTTATGCCCTGCGCCTGATCAACTGGCATTTTGCGAACCTTGAATACGCAAATGCAGCCAATGTCGACAAGTTGAGCCTCCGCGGTTGGGACCAGGACATTGGCAACGAGTTTGAAGGAGAACATGCTCAAGTCGTTGGTGGCTATCAGCAGGTCCCGCGTGCATTGTATCGCTTTCCAGAGCCACTTGATGTCCGAATACGCAAGGCTGTCAAGAGCATTCGATACAGCGCTGCGGGCTCGCAGGCGAAAGCAACCGTCACCTGCGAGGATGGACAATCAATTGAAGCGGACAAGGTTGTCTTTGCTGCTCCGCTTGGAGTGCTGAAAGACCAGTCGATCCAATTCGATCCACCCCTGCCTCAATGGAAGCGCGACGCTATCAGAAGGATGGGCTTTGGTCTGCTCAATAAGGTCATCCTTGTATTCGAGAAACCTTTCTGGGACATCGGTAGAGACATGTTCGGTCTTCTTCGAGCTCCTCGCAACGGACAAGGCAATCATCAGAGAGACTACAAAGAAGGGCGTGGTCAGTTCTACTTGTTCTGGAATTGCATTGACACAACCGGACTTCCCGTCCTCATTGCTCTGATGGCTGGCGAGGCGGCACACGAAGCCGAAAGGCTCAGCGATGAAATCCTCGTTGGACAATGTCTTGAGCAGTTACGCAATGTTTTTGGTTCGACGAACGTTCCCATCCCCCTAGAGTCAATCGTTACTCGTTGGGGATCAGACCGTTTCGCGCGAGGGACGTATTCCTACGTCGCAGCTGAAGCAAGGCCAGGCGACTATGACCTCATCGCTGCGCCTATACAAAATCTTTTCTTCGCTGGCGAAGCCACCATTGCAAGCCACCCAGCGACCGTACACGGTGCATATTTGTCCGGTCTTCGCGCCGCGCATGAGGTATTTGAATCGATTGCGGGACCAATAGCCATTCCGCCGACACTCGTGCCCGCGGCCAGCAGCACAAAGAAACCAGCAGCTCCGGTGGATCTAAAATTGATGGATACCCACATGGTGGTACAAGCTGGCAAACGAAAAGGTGACGAACTACTTCCCGCAGGCACCTTTACCCGACCTGTAAAGGAGAAAGACAATGCCCTGCACGAGGCCTGGGACGCAGCCATGTGGGTCCGGATTTATGATGACCTGGGTCCTCCACCGGTCAAACCTCAAAAAGCCAATGTGAATTCTTTTCTCCTGTATTCTGGAGAGCATTGGGAAGAGGTCAAGACACGTCTTACAGAAGACCGAAAGAAGAGCGGCAAGAAAACCAAGCAATCCGAACGGGATCAGGTGCGAGTTGAGCTTGGGAAGATGTGGGCTGCGCTCTCAGAGGAAGAGAGGAAGCCATACACCGACCGCACAAACAAGAACCGGGAAGAAAACGACAAGGCCATGAAGGAGTGGTCCGTCAAGGCGGCAGAATGGGATCGGCGCACGTGGGAAGTCAAGGACGTGTGGATAAAGGAAGGCAATAGTTTTGAGGAATTTTGTAAGAGGAAACGGGAGGATGAGGCGGCGATGGACGCCGAAGCTGCAAAACGAGCAAAGGTTTAGGGTCACTACGTTAGATACGTTGGCATCGTTACTGGCATCGTCCCGTGGAGGACTGAGAGATCACAAGGCTGAATGATCTCGTGACGTGGAAACGAGCCTGTGATAGCGGCATTTTGCTGCTACACCTAAGTAGATACACAGTCAATCATCGTTGTATATTGCCGAGTTACACTCATCGTACGATGTGAAAAATTCAGCCTCGCGCCGCCTGTGTACAGCCTTGCCGGGTTTGTGGGTTGCCGATATCGGGCGTACCCCAGAATAAGGAATTGGCGTCATTGAGCCGAAAATGGTGGGGTTACCAGGATTGACTCACCAGGTGTGTATCAAATAGTAGCGAAGTCCTTTACATTTGCTTTGTACAGCAGTCCAAATAGACGAAGCCATCCCATTCAGGATATTCGGCACTCAGGATTTGTATTCACTCGATCCAGGGTGGTTTGTCGGGACTCACCGATTTCTCCTGCTGCTGTCTCGGAGTGTCTGATACCCATCTACTGTGGTTGTCTCACGTCTTAAATTTCAGGCGGGACATCAGCAAATTCACACGAGGTGTCTCTTCCAACTTACCGCGTCGATATAGGCTTTGGAGAGAAAAAAAGAGGGCAGGAAGAGACAAAAAGACAAGAGACAGAACAGGACAGGACAGGACAGTGCAAGAATGGGTCTGTTCTTCGAAACATTACCCCCTTCGCTCCTCCCGTGGCTTCTGGAGCAAAAGGTCTTTTACATCGCCTCGGCCCCTTTATCGGGCGACGGACACGTCAACGTCTCCCCCAAGGGCGTCTCGGACAAGGGCGGCCCCTTCTTCGGCGTCATCAAGGAACCCAAGAACGGCTCAGTGGTCGGTGCAGCGCGTGGTGATGGCATTAAAAACAACAATGCCAACGACGAAGAGAAATCGACAAACGACGACGACGACAACAAGAACGTCGTCATCCGCAAGTTCTGGTACATGGACCTGACGGGCTCGGGCATCGAGACGACCTCCCACCTGCACGAACCGGGCAACGGGCGCATCACCGTCATGTTCAATGCGTTTTCGGGCCCGCCGCGGATTTTGAGACTTTGGGGTAAAGGTACGTGATAATGTCGTGTGCAAACTTATGGATGGAATTGGATAGAGGGATCGACAAGCATCAGCACCATAGAGGGCTTTTGTCTCGTCTCCTTTCTTTTCAGGTTGAGGGAACTCTCCTCTCACTCTTCCCCGTATCTGCCCTCATTTTCTTGCTCTGGATAGTGTGGAACTCATTTTCTTCTTCTTCTTCTTCTTCTTCTTCTTCTTCTTCTTCTTCTTCTTCTTCTTCTTCTAACCATTCCCCTTCGTTGCCACCCGTACAGGCACACCGCTCGAATACGGCACGCCCGCGTTCAACGACATCGTCGCTTCGCAGAAGATCACAATCATCCCGGGCACCCGCTCCATCATCTTGGTCGACATCCACCAGGTCGGCACGTCGTGCGGCTTCTCCATGCCGTGCTACGAGTTTGTCAGCTTCCGCCCGACACTCAACGACTTTTTCGAGAAGCGCGTCGCCAGCGAAAAGGCCGGGAAGAGGGAAGATGGGATTGAGAGGTTCGTTCTTGTCGTCGTCACCCCTCCACTCCCCGAGTTTCGTTCTTTGAGCCCTTCATCGCTCTGTTCCTGTAACTGAATGCTGACTCGTGCGTCCCTCGCTCGATGCTACGACGAACAGGTACTGGGCGCACAAAAACGCGTGGAGCATGGATGGCCTGCCGGGCATGCAGCGCGGCGTCAAGACCGCCGTGGCCGAGGACGTGAAGCCGATCAAGAAAATGGTCGGTCCTTACGCGCCGGGGTCGGTGGGAAGGTCGCAGAGACGGGCTGGCGCGTTCACCCCGGGCCATCTGATCCTCGTGGCCATCCTGAGTTCCCTGACGACCGCTATCGTCCTTCTGATTCTGTCGAGAGTCGGAAATGTCAAGGTGCTGGTGGGGAGAGGGGTTTGGACATGACTCCTGCGATGGATACGTTGGTGAAGGAAGATATAACAGGCAGAACAAGCCGAATTGTCGGACAGAAATCGAAGAGGCTGGGTGAAAAAGTGATCCAACCTTTGGGCAGACATGTTGCCGGACAAGGATGATCACAACTAATTGAATATAAAAACTATCAAACACCCGCTAAAGTCAAATACCCTACAGAAGGAAAAGAATAATATCCAAGATCTTCCCAAAGCTGTTGTCCTAAGCCCTGAATAAAGAGGGAAGATTGCCGCATGAGCTCTTTCCCCTACCCACTCTCAGAGATATATTCACAGAATATAGCCACCTCATGCCGGGCTGCTCAAAGTATTGTCGGTCGCCCACGTGACAGTGGGAAGGGTGTCCTGAACTTGATCACCGCATCCATCTTGACAACCTTTGCGACTTCGATTCTTCGAGACGCGAGGCGATGTCCATTCGCGTTTATATCGTTGAAGCCGTGCCTTTGGTGAGCAGGTGCACGAGGCTGGGATGGGGGCCAATGTGGTCTGATAGCGTCGACATGCTTCTGAGAAAGTCCCATCCGGGATGCAATTCTCTTCTGAAAAGCATGACACTCGCGTGGACTGTTGATCACTGGACCAGTGTACCCATGGTGGGGGGCTAGCCAAAACCCCCAGATGTGGATTTCTGGCATTCAGCCCTTCTTGTTACCCAATTCGGCATTATCCTGCGTCAATTGGCACACGGTCACCGCGTTCCTGCCCACCCATTCCAGCTCGTAAAAGAGCGAATTGGGCTTATCTCTGGAGCGACGTAACATGCGGTGATTTGGATTGGGTATTTTGCCGGTCTTCTTCTTTCGCTGGCGCAGTGATTTCCGTTGGATTCGGCCGCGAAGAGTTTTGGGAGCGCCGAATAAATTTCCATGGAGGTATGGTTTGTAGCGGTTGATCTGGGAATTCGGGTCAGGAGTGTGTTCTGATGTTGTCGAGTCTTCGTCACTGGAGGGAGGTGTGGGGCTGAGGGTGGTGCGCTCAAGTTCGCGTGGGTCGATGAGGGCGAAGTGTCCCTCAAGATAGAGGTTGTAAGAGTTGCGTCTGAGGAATCTCGGGGTTTCTCTGGTTTGTTCAAGGGCGTCTAATCGTGACTGTAGCTGGGTGGCAAAGAGGTGTGCTGTCTTCTCTTCCAGGAAGCCACGGATGCCATCGTCCGGGATGGCAGACGGCGAACGCGTCCTTTCTTCTCGCCAGCCACTGTCATCTAACATCGGGTCGAAGTGTGCAGTGACATCAAGAGTAGAGGGAGTGGTAGAGTTGAAGAATGGGAGTTGTCGGTGTGATGAGGTTTAGTAAATGTCGTTGTCGCACCCGCCCAGTGGCTGGGCGGCACGTGCATCGGGTGCCAAGCCGGCAACAACGGGAAACTCCGGTTCTGGCCGAGCGCAAATGAGACTCGATTGTCCATCACGAACGAGAACAACGATTGACTATGCAAATACTCAAGGTTACTGCGTCAATCCTGACCCCTTGGTACGCCGTCGATGCGTGCTCTCACTGATCCACGGTGCAAGCATATATATCACGCCATGGAAATGATGCTGAAGAGATAGCCAGGGGTGTTCACCCCTCGTGGTGCGTCTGCCTATTTGCACTTGACGCCTTTTTGCGACCAGGATTACTATATAAACACCGGTGTCCCCCCGAAGACCACGCTCGCCCCTCTCGTTCCTGGGCATGCCATATGCATAATGGCTGATGCGGACAAGGAGGGTACTGAAACCCTACCCAATACGCCAGATACAATTCCCCTGGATGATCACTTCTTCAGCCCCAGGACCCGTGCAAGGCTACAGGGCGACTTCGCTCGCCTAGTCCCTGTCAACCACGCGGCAGTGCTTGCATTCCATTCCATTGCTGAACGTACGAGGCTTGAACCTGATTGGAACCCTCACATCCGGAAGTTCCTTTTCATCGAAGAAACCCCACGGCAGCTCTCTCCTGAATGGGATGGTAGTGATGTTTCTAGTGATACAACAGACGGGCACCCAGCCCAAGTGTTGATGGGCTACTACCGACTTAGCTTGGAGATTCTGACCAACCACGCTAGGCTGGGCTGGGTCATTGGGAGCGGCAGAAAGGATCTCGTCAATGGTGGCGTTGATTTCCTGTTGACCCTCCAGAAAAACAGACATCATGTCCATGGTCGACATGCTCGGCTGGTCCATCATGCTCAAAATGGTGCACTGATGCTCCATGTCGGCAAAGGCAAGGTTGTTCAGGTCAATGGCATTGAACGACTCGAGGGCTCGCAGCGAGTCCTTGGGTCAGTGCGTACTGCGCTGTCCTTTGGCAACCTCTCCTACAATTTGGAGTTTACCGGATTGAATGAGAATAACTATCGGGAAAAGCTAGGAGAGCTGTTCACCAAGCTTCATCCCGATGGTGATGTGCCTCCCATGTCTCTGGAGCTGACACCTCTTGAGCACCACCACGAACTGCATGGGTTTCTGATACATTCCCCCTTTGCATCTGGTGCTAGTGGTGTTGTGTCGGCCGGATTCGAAAAATCTACCGGTCGGGCCGTGGCAATCAAACGTGTCAAGCGTACACCAGCAACGGTCGCGCGAATCCAACTGGAAATCCAGATCTACAAGAAAATAGGAAACCATGTAAGTTTGCCCGTCAATCTGTGAAGTACCATTTACTTACTTAGGAAGCCAAACCTCTGCCATCTGATGGCTGATCTTTATTCGGGAGGCGACGAATACAGCACAGGCAAGTCCAAGATCAATGATGTATACCTGGTTCATTCTCCACTGGCCAGACAGACATTTCTTGACTTGACCCTCTCAAAAAGGCCATACGATGTTCGCATGTCTGCCTTCCGCCAGGTTTTGAAAGGCCTTGCCCATCTGCATCAACATGGTATCATGCACAGAGACTTGAAGCCCACGAATATGATGATCGTGTCGTACTCGCCTGTACATGCAATAATTATTGATTATGGGAGCGCTACTTTCGATGCCACTTCAACGGATCACTACTGTGGAACAATCGCATATCTCGCACCGGAAGTTCTCAAGCTCAAATATCAGAATGAGAGTCTAAACCAGGAACCCTATGATTGCCGCGTGGATGTTTGGTCCATGGGACTTTCAGGGTATCAGCTTTTCTTCCAGGAACATTGCCGGTGGGAAAAAGGTGTAAGCAGCGTCACTCATCAGGATATCATACGGAACTTGAAATCACGACCAGCCTCTATTGCTGATGTGCTTATCAAGATGCTTTCATGGCAGAGTGCGCAACGTCCCCATGCAAACGAGCTCCTTCAGTCGAAGATCTGGCCCAAGACGATCGGCGATGCCGAAGCCCCAAACATCGACAGCTCGGCATCTTTGCATTTACACAAACGGGTGAAGAGGTGAGGTGTGGACTGGCAGGATTTCCAGCTGCGCGAAGCTATCCTCGTTCGATTCTTTCAATGAGCGTGACTGGAAGTTGTAATTGCAAAATCAAATCCCCAAATTTCGACGATCATAGCAGCCGTTCAGTCTGCGTGTAGACTACCTTTGGCGGATGAAAGGTGATCCTTGACGTCTACAAGCAGCCAACTGGGCACCACTCCAGGTTCCCTGACGTTGGGACAACCCATGCGACCCCTACACATTGGCCCCGTGTTGTCACATGTGATAGGGGCATCGACTTCAGACAGTTGCTTTTGACAAAACCGTGCGGTCAACAGCGGCATAGCTTTCACCATACCTGGCGACAAGCTCCGGGATAGATGGCTTGATTCAAGGGAAGTCTACTGATTCAAGGGACAATTTCTATATCGAGCACAACAGATGCTCACAAAAAGACCACAAAATTGGCGGATCAGTTCCGTCAGTACAACAAATCAAGTATTGCCAGTTTTCAATATATCAGGCGATGGGTAGAGCAGAGCAAGGAACGGCATTATACCCCCCTCGACATTACAGCTCAGACGGAGGAAACTTGATGTCAGCGAGGATTGACCGACAAGTCGAGAAACTTTCTACCGTGTTGCTGTCCGTATACCTTTTGACGACATTGGTGGAATCTGAAATGTCATGTCTGAGACTGACTACCTATACTGTATACCCCTGCCCCTAGCCTGTGTCTGGGGATGGAGATGTAGCGAAGAAGGAGAAGGAGGGAGGAGGGCCCACAATGGCGGCGCCAGATCATTTAGTGGACAGCCAGACAGACAGACAAACCCATACGGTGCGTTGCTGAAGCTACTGTACCTAGTAGTAGGTAGTCCCATACATACCTAGGTACCTAGATACCTATTTCCTGTGGCAACGCACTCTCTGCTCCGTGCGAGGCAGAGAAGCGACTTATATATGTCGTTCTCAGCCAGGAATCTGGATGATGTTATCTAGGTGCACATCAAATACCCCATATTACAAAGGGAAATAGGAGAGTTGCACAGGGGGAAATTTCCCAATATAGAAGGAGAAGTAGAAGGCAGGTAGATAAGGTAGGTAGATACCCCAAGGTAATCAATCACTCCACTCCCGACACGAAGAAATCAATTTGTCTCGGTAGAGTAGAGAGAATACTCTCCTGTGTACAATTTCACATTTCACATCTCCCAAGTAGTAGCACGGTAGAGGGAGAAAAGATGCAAGACACAAGATAGCAAGGTATGAGGTATAAGGGTATGTATTTGACAAAGTACTCGAGTATACCTCGTACACAGCTCGACTGACTACCTACAAACGACTCTTCATCTCCGGGCCGGGCCACCAGTCGGGCAGATTCTTCAAGACCCAGCTGGAAATGCCCGAGTTGACCTCCTCGGGACACTGGAGGTTGCCCCAGTGGCCGGCGGGGATGACGAACTCGGTCAGGTGGCGGCACTTGTCGCGCATGGCCTGGGTCAGCTTCGGGTTGTCGACCGTCTGGCACACGGCGTCGTAGGCCGTGTGGATGAAGAGCACGGGCATGGCCAGCACGCCGTCGTCGACGCTGCGCTCGAGCGTGTACCGCCGGTTCGCGCCGTGGTTGAGGTACCACGCCGTGGCGCCCTTCCAGCCGTTTTTCTGCGCGCTCGCGATCAGCGCCGTGTAGATGTCCTGGTCCAGCACCGTCTTGTCGAGCGGGAGGTCCGGGAGCGGCGCGTCGGGCCCCCCGAACCAGCCCTTGTGCCGCGTCACCTGGGCGGTGCGCGCCTGTGCCTTGCCGCTGTGCGGGCTGCCGCGGGAGTAGACCAGTTTCAGGCACACGGGCAGGTTGGACTCGAATTGCCGGTCGATCGCCCGGGGTTCCTGCTCGTAGAAGACCTGGTAGTCCCACTGGCCGTAGGGGAACTCGCTCTCTGGGTACACGTCGCGGTCGATCAGGTCGAGAAGCCCCGGAAGGCCCAGCTCCAGCGTGCGGTACGGCACCGAGATGCCCACGATCGCGCGGCACACTTCTGGGTGGTGGCTCGCCAGGGCGTACAGCGGTCCGCAGCCCCAGTCGTGGCCGACCCAGAGGGCTTTCTTGCGGCCCAGGTGCTTCACCAGCTCCAGCAGGTCCGGCACGATCTTCTCCAGCGCAAAGTCGCTCGGGTTGTCACTCGTCCAGGTGCCCCCGTACCCAGGCATGTCCGGGGCGACGCAGTAGAAGCCCAGGCTCGATAGTGAGAGCAGCTGGGGTTTCCATGTCAAGGCGATCGCCGGCCAGCCGTGGAGGAAGACCACAAGGGGCCCATTGGAGGGGCCAGCGGCGAGGTAGGCGTATGGTTTCGAGGAGGCGGGGGAGGTGAATGTGTGGGATGTGATGGAAGAAGAAGACATTGTTTCCCGGCCCCTTTCTGTTGGTAGTCGTCGTTGTAATTCAGCGGAAACTGGGAATGGATGTAGTGGTGGTCTCGTTGGAAGGATTGACGTGTGTATATATACAGTATGGAAAACGTACTTATGTATGTTTGAATGTGGATTTCAACGCGTCCTGGCAGTATCAACCACGGGCCAAACACTCCTTCTCTTCCACCGGATCAATGCCAGTAGTATTCACGCAATTCCCTCCTCTACAAGTACAGAAGAGAGGAGAGTATCGGCGGTCCACCAGCATGTAAGCATCCAAACACCTAAACCTCGGCTTTGGTGTTCTATCCACTATGAATTCGCGCGCGACTTGGGGGGTCGGATTGCAAAGCTAGGCGTGTCGGTGTGATTACTGATCCTACAGTAGATATCCGCGAAGAAAACATGTTGTGGGGAGTCGTAGGTTTCGATGTGCTTTTATGAACAATTACATGATGAAGCTCACCAGGCCGGAGAATCAATCCTTCGTCGATTCGCTGCAACAGGGTTCGTAAAGGGATGGACTCATCCGAGATGCAGGAGGGGTATGTCAGATACTTGGTGTCGGGCAGAGCCTGGGTGTAGGCGTACGTATGTATGTAGATACGCCGAGCTCCATGGGGCAAATATTTCGTCAGCATATGCGGTTTGCCTAAAATCGCATTTGAAGGGGAAACTCAGTGGGAGGGGGAAGGGTGGTAAATGGTGATGTCGCAGCTGTTGCATGTGGAAAAGGGAAGACCAGAGGTCCGATCAACTGGTCAATGTCAGGTACGTCAATTGGTCTGAGCGCATGTTGGATTGACCTACTGCCCACCTATACGTAAAAGGGAGCTATGGAGGGAGGGTTGGAGGATCATTAGGCACCCAACCTGCAAGTCCGCGGGGTACTGCGTTGGGATCCGCTGCCCACGCGGGTACCCGAGCCCCCCGGAAACCACTTGTAAGGTGTCCTTACAGGCGACGCAGCCGTTAAACCCGATGCCTAAGGCGGCCCTTGACGGCTCTATCTCAACGAGGAGATCCCAGTCAAATCCTGGGCTCAACCAGTTGACCCACATATGGATGATCATGGAGCCAGCTCGCCGATCCTGGGTCGTGTCTCTGACACTTCTTTCGAGCGTTTAGAAAGTTTGTTCTCTATAACAAGTACGTTGGCTTAATCAACTCCCAAGGGACGCATGCAGCCAAGGTACATCTAATATAAGAATCGAATAAACATAAAAGAAATCGTGACACCAGCCCTTACGGACCTTCCATTTCCCCAAGGGTTCCGACTCGGAGCTTTCAAGCCAGGCTCGAGGCAATGGAGAACTCGGGATACAGGTGACTGCTCAAAAGCCACCCACACCGCAAGGGCCGCGACCTTTCTCTCAACAGAGTACCAATCTGGGAAGACAGTCTCAACCTTGTCCGCTAACAAGTAGGTGTGTATTCGCCGTGGCACTCCTTCTCTTCACAGGCTTCCCCTCCTAGGGAATGCCACTCCTTCCACCGCTGCATCATCTGTGAACCAGCTGACCTTCTCCCCGCCGCCTTCATTAACCAGTCCACAAGGTAGGCTTCTTCCCTCATCGTCCGCTTCTAGGATCTTCTTCAAGATTCCTTTCTTCTCGCCTCCAGTGGTGACAAACGCAATCTTGTGAGCATGTGTCAACACGGGCAAAGTCAAGGTGATCCTTTTTGGCGGCGGTTTCGGGCTGTCTTCGATTGCAGCCACCCAGGCGTCTGCTTCTCGCAGCAATTCGTGGCCGGGAAACAAACTACATGTGTGGCCGTCTGGTCCACAGCCCAAGAGGATCAGATCAAAGATGGGCACTTTCACAGAGTCCTTGCTGGCAAATGTTGACATGAGGACTTCTTGGTACTGGTCCGCCAGCTCTTGGGTGTTGCCGAGCTGCGTCACATCGATAGGATGGACAGTGGGCGTCCCTTGCTCAGACGGAATTTTATCGAGAAGTTCTTCCTTCAGCAGCCCGTAATTACTGTCCTTGTCATCGAAAGGTACGGCTCGTTCGTCGGCGAAGAAGATTTGCCATTTCGAAAATTGTGGCCCGAGTGCGGGGTCTTCTTGGTGACCTGGCGTAAGGAGCGCCTTTGCGAGGGTTGCGGGAAGACTGCCGCCAGAAACAGCGACTTTGAAGCAATCGTGTCGGTGAAGAGCCGCCTTTTGGCAGGAGAGGATATAAACGCGCAGATGCGCAGCGACGTCGTCGACTGTGGGGTAGCTAAAGAGGTTGGGTTGTTTGCCCATTGTTATTTTTCTTTCTTTTCTGATGGTGGCGGGGCTGCCTCCCGCAAGTCGCAACGGCGCAGTTTTGTCCCTCGGTACTGCGATGAACCAAATTCGTCTTCCAACCAACGGTATTCTTCCGGGTGGGATTTTGGAGTGGATGAAGAGTAAAGATCACCTGAGGTTGTGCACCTGCAATACACGAGATCGAGTTGTATTGGAGGATCTGAATAGCGAATCTGAGGTGGGGGGACTTTCTTTGGGTGCGAATTTCGTGATGTGCTTCGAATGAGGCCAATTGCGAATGAGATCGAGGTCGTTGAGGAAGGAGTGTGAGGAACAAAAGGGAAAGTGAAGTGAGGACAAAGATCACTTGGATTAAGTGGTATATCTTCACGCTGGACGCAGTATCAAGGAATGAAGTATACCGTCTTGTCGCAAAACTTCGTAGTTGACGATCCAAAAACGTGGGTCGAATTTGATCTTGGTTGCACCAGATTGTTTCCCAAAGCCTGACGTCATGGAAAACATGTCTGACAGCACAAAAGCAGAGGGGTTGATTGGTGCTGCCGAGTGGGAAACGCTACATGCCCATTATTGTCAGACAGTAAACATTGAGCGACTATTGAAGATAGACCGATAAGCTCGGATTGCTGATGAGTGCTGACTTTACTCGAGGTGAGTGACTAAGCCATTGCATGTACAGCCTGCTGGGTGCCTGCCACCCACCTGCTAGCTAGGTACCTAAAAAACCACATGAGGATCGGATGGAGGCCTGCTTGGTACTTCTCTTGTTGCATTGAGTGAATAATGCCCTTTTCATATGGCGCGGAACCGGATATCCGGTGAGAAGATATCCTTCCCTCGTGGGACGGGAAACGACAATCTTCAGGTGCAAATGGTAGTGGCAGCACGCTCATCAACATCTCGCTTGGCTCATGATTAACAATTCTGGTGAGTTATTTCTCTCCCGGTGAGGTGATATCCGGGTCAGTCTTGATCACCCCTGAGAATGCCTCATATCCCAAGTACGAGGGACTTTATCCTCATGTCTGATCATGTGTACAATCATGAGTACTCGGTACTTTGGCGGTTGACGGATCACTTGAGCCGACGGCCATTGTGGACCATCATGGTTCCGGGATTTCCTGGTACTCTCGGTCTCCAGAAAAACCCGCGTTGACCTCGCACAGGTGACCAACAAGGGGTAGGGCTGGAAAGTGTGGCTACTGTGGCATATTGCCCTCTCCGAAAACAGATCGATCTCCTGCAACTCGTACCCGTTGTCAAGGACGTACAAACTACGAGGTACGAGTACAAACGCCTCGGTTCTATCGGCCCAGCAACCTAAAAGTGACAGATCGGAGATGATGAAAAAAGGCTGCTAGTGGGAATATTAGGCGTGGCCAGCCCCCCAGGCTACCCCTCCAATTGTGGCGTTCACCAATAAGACATCCGACAGTGCCCGGAACATAAGCCCGCGAGAGAAGAAAACCAGTTCGGAATAGGCACGGTCGGGTCCTCTTCAAGCCCAGGGCAAGCCGTGATTGGGGATCAACAGCCCGGAAAAGGTCCAACAGTCCCCGGGTGGAAGAGGCGTCTTCGGCTTGAAAGGGGGCCTGGAGTTCCCAGCCAGTGCTAAAGTTCTCGTGCCGCCGCGCGTAAAGTCGATTTGGTTTCCTGCGATCGAGGTCGCGGTGGTCATCGACCATCTCACATCCCACTCATTGGAAGAATGCCATCTTTGATTCCCATGCCATCGAAGATTTCAAGACTCTTGTGTGCCTCCCTACCCATCGTCCTCGGCCCTCATTTGTCCTCGATCCCGTCGATATCCAGTTTCGACCTGCACTAGTAATTCCCATCCCACCCCTGGTCGCGTTTCATCGCCTTCCATCCAAGGCTTCCCTCACGAGAACCGTCCATGTCCATATCACAAGCCATTGCCATCCCCGATCTCTTGCGCTGAATTCTGCACTTTCCACGCAATCTTATTATCCGCTCTCGACCAGTATTCCTGATCTATTGCCGCCCTTCCCCCTTGATTTCTGCCATACCATTACCATTTGAAAAGGGGACGATACCGCTGAGGCACCCTTCATTTATTCACATACTAATTGCGACCTACGAGCACCTTCCATATTGTCAGAAATGGCATCGTCGACACCTTCTTCCCTCTTACAGCTTCGGACATTGGCAGCCAATGGCTCCAACGCCACCAAAATCGGCCCCAAGTCCAATAAAAGCGACGACAGCATCAACACCCTGTCATCGAGCGCTTCCAGTTCATCCAAGTCCTCCTTAGACATTGTTCGCTGCTCTCGATGTCAACGATCTCTGAGTATTGATACCTCGCTTCCTGCTCAGAACAGTGGCGCAGTCCGATTCGGCATGAACTCATATTACTGCCAAAGATGTGCCAACGTGGTTGGCTTTGTCAAATGAATTGATCTGTCCGGGGCCATCCTTTTCCAAACCCCTCCTTTCAATCCTTCCTCCGATTGCAATTCCTCCTAAATTTCCACCCTGGAGCACTTGGAACAAACAGATTGAATACGATTGAGACATACGACCAGCGAGTGAAGTGGAGAGATGAAGACGCCTGGGAACAAAGGACATCTCGTACTACAACAAGTACAACACACGGAGCAAATGCAGAATTTGCCCTATTGGACACGACTCAGGGCGATGGATATTCGGGACCTGTCGTGGGATCTTCTATGCAGGATGACCTCCCAACGGTACAACACATTCAATC